TCTAGATACAAAGCGTCCCAAGGCTACTATTCTCCCTGTCAGGCGTTGGATTTCCCTTACATTAGATGGTGGCTACATATCTAGGACTGCCTTCACTTTTTGGGGGTTAGCCTCTATTCCCCTACTATTTACTATGAAACCCAAAAATTTTTCCGCAGATACTCCAAAGGCACATTTGGCAGGGTTTAGCTTCATCTTGTATTCTTTAAGGACCTAAAACGATTCTGCTAAGTGTGCAATGTAGAGCTCTGCCTTCAGTGACTTCACCAGCATGTCATCGATATAGACCTCCATGGATGTTCCAATTTGCCTTTGGAACATTCGGTTTACTAGACGCTGGTAGGTAGCTCCCGCGTTCTTCAACCCAAAAGGCATAACCTGATAGCAGTAAGTCCCCTACTCAGTCACGAAAGAGGTATTCTCCTGGTCGATTGGATCCATCCTGATCTGATTATAACCTCAGAAAGCGTTCATAAAGCTGAGGAGTTCGTGCCCAACGGTGGCATCCACTATTAAATCGATCCGGGGTAAAGGAAAACTATCCTTATGGCACGCTCGGTTAAGATCAGTAAAGTCTATGCAAAGTCGCTATTTACCGTTGATTTTCCTGACAAGAACCACGTTGGCCAACCAGGTAGGGTAATCTACTTCCCTGATAGATCTAGCGTGAAGAAGCTTGCCGACCTCCTCATTGATTGCCTTCTGACGCTCTGGAGTAAAACTCCTTCGCTTCTGCTTGACGGGCTTGCAGGTAGGATTCACACTCAGCTTGTGAACGATAACCAAGGGGTCAATGCCTTCCATGTCTTCTTGTTTCCAAGCGAACACCCTCATATTCTCCTTCAAGAACAGGATGAGAAGGTCCTTAACCTCTCTACTTAGTTTAGTCCCAATGTAGACGAGATGTTTTGGCTCTTCATCAAGCTGAACTGGCTCCAGCTCTTTCGATGGCGTTGGCCTGGTGCCCAGTTCGTCCCTCATGTCCAGCTCATCTAGTCGTTTATTTTCAACTTTTTTCTGCTTCATCGAAGTCAAGTAACATTCCCTTGCAACCCGTTAATCTCCTTGGACCACTCCAACTCTGTTTTTCGTAGGGAATTTCATAACCAAATGATAGGTCGAGAGGACGGCCTTCATTGCATTGAGAGAAGGTCTCCCGAGTAGCATGTTGTATGCAGAGGGGGCATCAACCACTAGGAATCTTATTGTAGTGGTTGTCTAGCAGGGGGGTCTCCCATAGTGAGCACAAACTGGATTGAGCTCAGTGGCAACACTCGTTCTCCCGCAAATCTCAACAGGTGAGCATTCACGGGCTCCAACTTTTCCCTTCCTATGCCCATTTTGTCAAATGTGGAAACAAATATGATATCTACTGAGCTTTCGTTATCTATCAGAACTCGGTGAACAGTTCTGTTAGCCACAACAACCCTTACACTAGCGGGTCGTCATGAGGGTGTTGGTATCCTTCCAAGTCTACATCTGAGAATGTGATGTCTGAGCTCAGCTGTGGTGCCTTAGATACAGCGTACACCTTTTTTTTTAAATACTTTTTTTTTGGGAGAGGAGGGGGAAGGGGGCTTGAACCCTTGACCTCAAGAAAGCAAAACCTTCACAAGACAATTCTGCGTAGGTGGGCTTTCCTGGCTAAACTAGATTCCCCGCCTCCTGCAAAACCCCCTGATCTCTCCTAGAGGTTGTTGGTGTTGCGCAGGAGCCTACTGCTGAGGTGGTGGGGCTCGATTCTGATTCTCCTGGGTTATGTAACGACGCAACTGCCCTCGTTGGATCAGGACCTCTATCTCATTCTTCAACTGAATGCAGTCATCAGTATGATAACCATGGTCCATGTGGTACTCACAGTACTTTGAGGGGTCCCTTTTCGTCGGGTTCGCTTTCATCCGAGGTGGCCATCTCAGGAATTTTTTAGTTTATATTTCATACAAGGTTGCGATATTGTTGTGGTGAGTGGGGGAATCTGCCGAGGTGCGTACCTCGGCTGCAACTCCAGATGAGGTGGTCCCAGGCGATCTCTGATGTCTCCCCTTCTTTTGGGGGAGCGATCTATGTTTCTTAGGGACCTATCTCGTCCTCTCTCTCTTCTGGGACTTAGGTCCCTCTTTTTCTCCTCTTTCCCTTTGTCTTTTTGTATGGATGAGCTCCCCACTTTTGAGAGCAGAGCTACTTCGCCGTTTATGTATTTTTTCGCCTTGGCCAGTACTTCGGCCATGCTGGCCTGGGAATTTTTCGAGATGGAGAACATCAGGTCTTTAGATTGGACACCCAAGCCAGCTATAAATGCAGTAATGACAAATTTCTCGTCTGGGACGTCTACTTTTAGCGATTCTGAGTTAAACCTCTGAACATAGGATCTGAGATTCTCGTGGGGTCCATGTTTCACATTTAGCAAGTGGTAACTCGGCTTTTTGTACGTTCGAGCTCCTATAAAGTGAGACACAAAGGATATGGATAGCTCCTTAAAAGATGATATCGAGGCTGGGGGGAGCCTATTGAACCATGTTAGGGCTAAGCCCTTCAACGTGATGGCAAAAGCTCTGCAGCGCACTGGATCCTGGTATCCATGCAACTTCATCTGGTTCTTGTAAGTGTTGAGGTGATCTACGGGATCCTTTGTTCCATCGAAAGTGTCTGTTTACGGTATTCTGAATTTCATAGGGAGGGGAAAATGCAGCACCTCAGTGGTAAACGGGGATTCAGTCTGCTATACCAAGGTATCCATGGTAATTGGAGCCTTGTTTCTCACGACTTGTTTCATGTGGCTGAACTCTTGCTGGATACCCTAGAAGTGTTGCTCCCAGTATTGTTCTCACCTTTCTTATTGATAGGGGAAAAAATCGTTTCTCTCACCTTCTTCGTTCTGACTCTGTCCTTCGTCGTTGTGGCCATTCCTAGGGGGTATGCGAGGTTCTGGCCCCATGGTTTGGCTATTTTCCCCTTCTTCATTAACTTCTCTGAGAGGTCGAGGTATAGTTACTCCCTAGGTGGGAGGTTGTTCTGGCCTTCTTGAGTCTGTCGTGCCTTCTGTGGACGTTGGAAGAGCTTTAAAAGTTCTTCATTTTGTTTCAGCAAGCGTTGATTGGAGAGGCGAAGAGCCTCCATCTCGTTATTCATGAGGAAACCCCCCACTGGGAGATTGGTCTCCTGGACGCTCTCGGGTGGTCTGCTATTGGCAACTTCTTGTTGATTTTGCACCTGTGGCAAATTTGTTTGACTTCGATTCATGTTTCGCATTGATACCATCAGTCACTGAAAGATCAGTTTGTTTATAATAGGAACAGTCGTTTCCCACAGACGATGTCAAACTGATGGTGTATTTCAACGTGATGCAATTTTGTGATGACGAGTAAATGAAACAAATAATATTGGAATTATTGGGATCTGAGCTACTAGACTCGAGGGAATGATACTGAGAATTGTTAGGGAGTTGGAGAATTAACACAATAGAAATATAGTGGTTCACCAGCTCGGGAGCTCAGCTAATCCACTCTTCAATGGAGATTCTTGCTCCTTCCTTCACTATTTACTATACCAAAAGGTTTACAGAATGTAAGATGTGATACTAGGGTTCTACCCCTTTGTTGGGGCCGTTACATAGTATTTATAAGGGTATTCCTTAATCTATGGGATCTGATCCGTGATTCTCGTCATCTATCCAAGGAATTCTCTAGGAGAGTATCTTGGTTGGTTGACGATTTTGTGTCGTGAGTGTTACTTCAAACCGCCTGTCGAGTTCTTTGTAGTATCCAGTTGCTTCCTCATTGCTTTAGTTTATTATCTCGCTTGAGGAGAGCTCTAGCTCTGGATTTTTGAGCTCTGCATAACTCTGATTTTCTAAGCTCAGCATACCTGACCTCCATGTTTGACCTCCATTCCCGAGCTCCTGCTCGAGAATTATTCTGAGTATCATCAAAAACAAACAAAAGTTTCAAAACATTGTGATGCCCTTGGTTAAACTGTGAGTTGCCCAATACTTGTCAATTCCCAACTAGCTATTTTGGCATTACAAGAAATAGTATGCATAGAGGTGTTTTTTCCTACTGAGGAAAGCTAACAATCTTTGAAAGAAAACAGTTGGAGGTGTTCTTCCCTACCAATAAGGATTGTGTACTTACCCATCATAAAATTATTACTTCATTACATAAATAGTTGAGGCAGATTTTAATGCAACGAAAATGACTTGAGTGTGCTGAATTCGAATCATGAAAATAATTTCTCCGTGTGTGTAAAGATAATACTAGATTCTCTTCAAATCCCATAAGAGCGACAATGATGGAAATGTTGTGTATTGAACTGTCCAACACTTTATATGGCTAATTGAATTCAAAATCAAGTCATCTTGTGGCCCCCCTTTGTCGTTCTTAATTTGCTTTTCTTGGACTCTTGGTACAGTATTGTACAATCTAATTGCTATCCCCATAAAAATCTTGCACTGTGTTGGACTGTACCCAAAATAATCCACCCTAATCTTTAGCACACCAAATCCTATAAAATATGAAGCCAATCTCTCTATCTCTCTTCTCTTTATACACGGTGGCCGGTCTCAGAGTTCGAGGGAGTAGTCGACGCATGTCTGGACACCTGTAGCAAAAAAATAAAGCCTCTCCCCCCCCCCCCCCCACACACACATCCTACAAAAATACTTCAGAATAACAAATGATCCCTTATCCAGGGTTTCAGTTTCTGCTGTAAATACTTTCATATATGCAACATGCAAATTTTTCTATGTCATTTGGTCTTTGATCAGCATATATGAAGCAGACAATATACACACTCTTAAGAGTCAAGACAATATGGCTATTACTTACCCATCTTCTGAGTTCTCCCTCTATATCAATCAACAGTTGGAGGCTCAATCTCAAACTTCTAGCTGATCGACAACAAAATGATACAAAATATTCCTAATAAATACCTCAATCATTCGACATCAAAATCAGCTGATCACAGATTCCACAAAAAGAAAGCCAGTCCTCATGAAAGCAATACATTTTTATTGATGATTTTATGCAAGCATCTACAAAGTTATACACTTCAGTTATTTAGCAAATCAAATTAAGTCAAACAGGACCTCAAAATATTGGAAGGTGGCTATGTATGTACCATAATAATTAAACCAATACAACGTGACTTAAAAAAAAAAAGGGAGAGCGGGCATTTTTGCAAAATTTGTCAAAACATGACCAGTGTTTTGAAAGTCAAGTAAATCAAACAGAAAAGAATGCACTGAAAATGAGTAGGTTTTCCACTGGAGCTACCATTCGGTAACATTGGGAAAATATCAGGAAGAGGCATCTCACAGTTCTCACCATTAACATAAATTTTTCTAGGGAAGGCCCATCCATTGCTTAATGTGAACGAGTCTGGATCCTTCTGCAAAAGTATCTCTGTTGTCACTGAACCCAATTCCTTCTCATCGGCTTGCACCAGTTCATCATTGTAGTACGCTAGTCCCCAAAAAAGAGCCACTTCATCTGCAAAACTTTCATGACTAAGAATTACAAGTGCATGCACAACCGTAAAGCATAAAAGCAAAACAATTCAGAAAAAATTGGATGCCCTGAAGTAATATTCCAGTCAGGAATTGTTCAAATCTCCTTGGTATAAACAAACCATGTGCAATGGGATTATTTGAAACTCCAAAGGCTATACATAAGCCATATCAAGAAAAAGAACGATGCAACAAACATATTAGATGGCAGTTTCAATTAAACCATGAACACTTCAACAGGTTAGCATCTCACATCTATAGTGTGACTAGAAGGACCAGTTAGTCCTAGAACAAAGCTGAGATAGATTTCAGGTTTCCAACCTTATCTGTACCTTCATTATATGGGACTTGGGAGCATAGTGTACCTATTGGCATCTATCTTCATAGACCTTTTCCTTGATCCTTTTGACAAACAAAACTTCAACTACAAACCACAAACTATTCTTGAATAGTATTGACAAAACGCATGGATCTCACCTACCCTTGAAACCGCTTTATAAAGCTACTAATAAAAAGTTCCACTGGACATAATGAGCAATCTTAATTAATCCTCTTTTCCCTCTTCATCATCAGTAACTTTAGCAAATTAATTGTACGTACAACTATAAATGGTTATATATTTCTGCTTAGAAATTCATTCGTCTAGCAAAGAAAAGATGAGGGCCCTTCAGGCTGAACATATACCCTTGAATAGCCTACATTAGCCCCCTTAGCGACCCAACCAGAGTGCCCACTGTATTTTCAAGTGAGTGACAGAATGTGAAATGTGACAGTAGTTGAAAGTACCTGGAACATCAACAGTGGGAAGCACTGTACTGTTGAAGCTATAAGTTGTTGCAGGTTGGCTGAAACCGGGATGCTGAACCAACACATTCCAGTCCGAGTAGTTTCTCCCATAGTTGTAATTGGAGATTGTCAGCTTCACCCTCCAATGAACCAAGTAGTTGTTCTTCACATGCCAGTGAACTCGAAGCGGGCACATATGATCGGTGCATTGCAACATATAAGGATTAAATTTAGAATTTGACAGTGACAGGGGATAATATCCTTCGCTGTTCGATGCACATATACACAAACATGTGCCAGAGCAGCAATTAGACTCGGAAATTATTGTCTAATAAAGAAAATAGTAAGACAAAGCAAAACATGCTTCAGCTGCATGCTCTCATGTCTGAGGATGTTTTGAATAATAACACACCTAATGCAGAAAGTCGTATTCTTGTCTGCTGGCCTACATGCACAGCTGCACTGAGGGCATGATGTGACTGTAGGATTGTAAAATGATGAGAACGAAGCACAACAAACTGGTTTCTTGTTAGCCACAAAACTAGAATAGGTGCATGTTGATTTCCATGTTCCTGAAAACAACAAATCATCATCACAACCCAATTCATGGTAGAGGGCAATTAATATGATGATTCTTCACATAAATGATACTGGTGGTGAACCCGTGCATTGGATTTATAATCCTTCCCCAACCCTTCTCCCATTCCCCAACCCATCACTTGGGACAACGGATAGAGAAATATAACTATTGGATGTTACAAATAAATTTTCTCAAAAAACATTTAAATGAGTGGTATCCAATTAGTGAGATGGTTAAATGGGACATGTGACAAAATATAATTAATCAATCTTATTTTGTAGTCAAATAAATGAAAATTCTAAAACTCAAGGAAATAGGGAGGAAGACTTCTCAAGCTCTCTCTCTCTCTCTTGAATTTGATTCTTTTAATACATTTTTTTTATATGTATATTGAGTCATTGACTTCTAATAAGAGTCACACATGACATCACCATGATACAAGATTACTTACGCATAATTTACTTCATTCCTTTAATTTTTAAAACCTCAATAAATATTTGAAAAGGACCAAAATTCTACTTAATTGAAATCCTCAATATGTATTTGAAGACCGCATTTTCCATTGAGGGGATACTTGAATGCATCCCCAAGAATATAGGCTAATCAAGCAAAACTAATCCAATGGAGATGCATCAATGTAAACATTGTTGGAAAGTTTGAGACACCACAGCACCTTCTGAAAATCAGTTACCAATCATTTTCAAAACAAGCTAGACCACGTTTAATTATCATAACCTTTAAGTTCTATCAGACCCTATACAACCATTACAATGTTATTCAGCACATTGTTTATGTCACAAAAACAGGTTAATTTTATGTCCGCTGAAGAATGCTCTCTTAATATATTTATCTAATTTCTACTAGTGATACCATTAATTGTGAAGTACTTACTGAAAACTTGTTCTTCTCTTCTTCCTCCTTTAACTTTGGAAACTGTAGGATCAGTTTCCACAACAGGGCCACAAGTGTAGCCAGGTCCTGGTGCCATTAAAGTAAGATTCAGTGGCCTGTACACAATAGAATTCCCTTCCCAGTTTCCAACCACAACCTCAAATGAAGAAAATGACTTTGAAGGGTTGATTGCCCATGCAGCAAGGAGGCCACCTCGGCAGCAGTCCTCGGGCATGTTTTGTGGCAGGGCATCTGCCATTAGATCAACTATTACAGGGTCTTTCTTGCAGCAATGTGGTATCTGGGACTTGAAGGATGAGCAATCCCCTTGTTGGGTGGCAATGCCACCAGACATTGACCAGATGACCTCATTTTGGGCCCATGTCCACCCTAGCTTCCAACCAGGTTTATCAACATGACGGTATTGATAGTAGTTTTGAATGGTAACCCTTGCCTACAAGCAACAGCCATGTTACAGGATGGATACTTTAGATAATGATGAACATGCTACCATGAACTAGAAGTCTAAATGCCATGAAAACATTTTGATGGAACATGCAGAAAATATTTCCAATTTAGTTCTAAAACTTATGCTATTATGCTCAGTCGTTACTCAGCATTGACCAACAATTCAGAAATATCATCTAACTTCAGAAACATATTCAACACTGATTTCTTTCTGACAATGTCATTTTTGTTTTGTAACTATTAAAACCTTGTAAATTTCAAGAATGTTAAGTATTATATTGTAGTGAGTCATGTCTCTGCAGACAATGTGCTAGTGATGTTATAGGATGAGGTTTTTCTGGGAGGGTTATTTTTAGCACATCCATTTTGCAGGTTGCATGTAATATGAAAACTTCAACAAAAATTGTCTTAATTGTAAAAGAAATACATATCATAAGAAAATTCTATTGTGACCAATTTACATGAAAGTATCATTTCAGATTACTATAGGAATACAGCAGATTAATACAGTATTATCACGTAACTCTGGACAATTGGCCGGCTGCTAAGTTGCTGTCATCTCTCTTATTCAAGCATGAGGATGATAAAAATCAGGTTTTAATCACCAGATTCCCCACAAAGCATAATGTTGCCATAGACATGGAATATCTCACTTCTAAAAAATCTGGCCTACTAATAATTCTGAATTCTTTAGCCCTACACAATTTTCAGAAACTTCTGGTTGCCAGTACTTCAGATTTTAAGTCAAGAATGTCATTGGCTGAGCTCCTGTTTATCTATTGCAGAAGAGAAAGATTAGACAATTTGAGACCAAGGGGCTTTTGTTTCCCTAAGGAAGATGGAAGTTATATTTCTGTTTTAAATGGCCCTTGTAGTTGGTGCAGACAAGTAGGCAGTGAAGAATGGACTAAACACAATCGTCACTTTAGGACAATATGACATATAACTGCAATTTTCTGTTGAAAACCTAAAAAACTGGTAAGCAAGCTTAACTAAATTCAATCTGACGCCTCTATTTCCCAGAAGAAACAATGAAGAGTCATCAAATGCAATAAAAAACAATTCTGACAGGATGCTCAAAAATCGTTCTCCTTAATCCCGGATGTTGAACATATGCAGCATACATGACTTAAAATCGATTTTTAAGTTCATCTAAATCCCAAATTTAACCAGGCCTAGCCAGATTATTAATTAAACTACTAACCACATATCCATCAGATGTCCACTGTAATATGTCGAAGGTAACTGTGATGTTCCCATTTGGATCCAAAGGGTCATAGCAATCTGCAACCAGAGAAGAATTCCATATTAACAAAAAACTCATTTTGGTCTCCTGAAAAATGAAACCAAATAAGCAACAAAGGTAAAGTATGATGCCTGAAAAACTGTTCATTGAAAGTAATAATAGTAACAACAGGGCTAAACGCCACACACTAGACATGGTTGACTCCATAGTCCTCTGAAAATTAGCAGGTTAAGATTGTTTGAATTGTTATAGGTAAAGGATGCAGACAGGGTATAAATGAGCTTTACTATCCAATAAAAAGATTGCCAAACTCATCTAGATATCACCATCTCCTGCTTATCCGTTTTTACCATTGTTGGCTGGATCAAAACAAGGATCATTGGAAATATCAATCGTATAAGAACACTGGAATAGACAAATCCGAAGTATAATTCCCCACAAATTTCAATCAGAACATTTTCCTATGACTCAAGCACGCACTAACCAATAGAACATCATAAACATCTGGAAGGCCTCCTTTGGCCTTTCCGCCATCTTTTCTTGCATAGAGAGCGCCATGAAGTGACACAGAAAACATTAAAATCAAAAATGCTATTATATGGTATTATATTTCATAACAAAAAGGGCTAATCATAGGATGGTATTATATCTCATACCTCCTTTGCTATTATACGGTATTAAACCAAAAAGGCAAGATACCCAAAAATGCTATTCTATGTCATGCTAAAACAAGATAAGACCTTTTGGTCCTACCTATGAATCAATAGCTACCCGTTACTTTCATGGTATCATTGCCGAAAGAACTCTCGTGGCTGATATGAAAAGCTGTATAGATGGTATTCCAATGAAGATCATATGTTGTCTCTTACCTCTTGTTTCTTAGTACTTCCAAGCTTCCCCAATGTCTTAACGAATAATTGGGGATAAACCCCCCTCGGAAACTCAAAGTTCCAAACGAAATTGAAGTGCTATCCGAAATTGGGGTTACTATTAGCTGTCAATGATCCGTACGTCGACAGAGATGGCGGTCTAAACAGCAGATAATCCGAAAACAAATTTAGGAAATCTGGTAACCATAGATTGTTACGATTGAGATTAAATCTGTGTGTATATGAATTTTTGAATACTATACGCAAATTCTTTCTGGGTTCATATCAGACATTATTATGGTTGAAGTCAAACGAAGGATAAACGTTGAAGTAGTCGAAGAATTCAGAACTGCTGAGCAAGGAACATCCAAGATGTTAGGCGAACGAACGATTGACAAAATGATGAGCATGTGCATTGCAATTAGGTAATGTCCCTGGGAGCTTTTATTTAAATTGCTTAAAAACGTTAGTTTAACCAACGTTTTCACGGTTGCATTTTATATAATTAGGGAGAATTACGCACTGACCTGGTTTATTAGGGAATGTGTTTTGGGATAGTGTATTAGTTTGTGTGTGTGTTTTGGTGTGTTAGTGTTTGTATTTTTATTTTTTGATGTATTTAGTGTTTCTTAATAAAGTGTGCATTGTTGAGTATGTGTTTTGGTGTATAGTACGTATCTTTTTCATGGATTTGTGTGCTAATTGAATGTGTGTATTTCGGTGATGGATTTGTGTGCTAATTGAATGTGTGTATTTCGGTGATGGTATGTTTGTGCGCGTGTGTTTTGGTGTTGGTGTTTGTGTGTGTGCGTGTAATATTGTGTTTGTGTGTGTGTGCGCACGGTTTAATATTTTTTGTGCGAGTGTGCTTGATATTTAGATTTAGACTTATTGTTTGCTAAACGGCTCGTGAAGAGGGAAATAAATCGTATTAATTTAGGGGGGGAAGGAGTTGTAAAGGGGGAGAGATAAAGAGTGTGTTTAGAATGTCGAAGAATTATCTAGAATAAATCAAAGGACTTCTACTGATCCACTTGGAGTAGTCTCGTCAAGTCTGATTTATAATGGAATGTATATTACATTTTTTATTTTTTTCAGAAATGCAAACTTTTGAATTGATATAACTCTGATCTGCTTAGTTAATGTCCCAAAGTTTGAAATTAATGTAACTCGACACTTTTTTAAGTTGAAATTTGTGTTTTTTGAGTTGTTTTTGTCTATATTTTTTGTGCTTGGCTTTGTTTACCGGTCATCGTTGAAGGTATATGATTCTTATGTTGCCAATTATTTCTTTACAATTTTTCGTTTCTTAAATTTTCATGTTATTTAACTGTTGTATCACGAGATTGGAGATTTCCTATTGATTGTAATACATTAAGACAGTCAATGAGAGGCCACTATGTTAAACTTTGGGAGGCGGCAGGAATGGAAACAAATGTATCAAGGAATGTAAATAATTATGCACAATGAGAATTGTATACATTTAAAAATTGGGAGGTGACATTACATAGAAAAGAGAAATCCAAACTTACCACGTCCTTGAATGTATCACAGGTTTCAAACTGCAGGCCGGCAGAAGGAACAAATCTCAACCAGCACAGGTGTCAATCTAGCATACAACCCTCTAAAGCCACAAGTTCTGCTTCTGGTGTCCATACTATGTGCTGTTAGTTTTTGTTATGGTGACCATGATGCAGTTGAGTTGAGGCAGTAAAATTCTAAGGATGCAGTGATTGTGCTCAAAGTACGATTTAGATTAGACTAACCAGGCCTATTCAGGTATGACAAATTTAACTAGATACAATTAGATTGTTCTCGATATTTTAATGAGCATACTGATTGTTTGGCCTTCCAATTCTAGGTTTGCTATGCACTGTTTTATTGCAAAACAACTCTTATTTGCTATGTTCAAATTCTGCCTATTGCAATGCTTAAAATCTAAGAAATTAGAGCCATGGGTTTGATTTGAACCTGTTCTGCCACTCCAGTTTGTTTGAGTTCCTCATCTATTTAACTCGTGGTTTTAAGTCACAATTCTTGTTATTAGTATTTGATAATTCTAGTGTCTTGTAAATTTTCTGACACTTTCTATGTATATCACCTTGAAAGTTACTTGTTACTAAATTTGTGATTATCATGTTTCTGCCTATTGTTGATTTTAATAGTTGTTGTTTCCCCCCACATTTTCTTCATTGCAGCTCTCCTTCTTGTCCAACTACAATGACTCTGAAGGAAACTATATTTTGTGTTGCCTTAATGGTGAATCCCTCAGACGTCGGCTCCAACGTTTTATCAAGGTGAATCCTCACTACGTGTTCTAAACTACTACATAGTAAGAACTACTATGTTTTTTTATTGTTAACTAATAAACAACCAAGTGAGAATAATGGACTCTTGCAACTTATCTTCTGGCTGAAGCATGTTCAGTCAGATCTGAACCAAGCCAAGTTTCTTGGTTTTTCTGATCTGAATCAACCGGTCCATTTTTATGCTTTGCTAAAAAAATCGGGTTTGGAGAATATGTGCTGTGCAGTCTCCACGGTCCTGTCCTGCCAAAAAATTATGCAATTGACCATGATCTTGTGCAGGGCTTCATGAAACCGTTTGATTGCTAGTTTGCAATTGGAGGACTCGAAACATGGGCTACTGGTGATGTCCTGCAAAAAGAAAAAACTCAAAGTATCTCTTCCTTAAGCGATTACAAGATGGAGAACTGAAAGAGGAATTCCTTGCACAGCGCCTCACGTGCACCAGGTCCTCTCCTCAATTACCATAGGGCCTCAATGATAATCAAGTCCAAAGACCATGAAAAGCATACACTAGTTTCTCAAAATCTGAGATTCTCTCTAGCTACATGCACTTCATTGTTCTTGTGGCCTTTTTTCAAGTACCTGCCATTGCCTAAGCTGCCGAGTACCACCGCCTTCACGCAGAACACCAATTGAACATCCTGAATGTCCAACACCACCAACAGAGGTCATTACCCCACCGCCTTTAAGAAGCCTCTTCCACTCACCCGTGCCATTTTGTAAGAAACCACTTACTGCATCACCATTACCACCACAAATTTACCCAAAAAAAAACTCTTCCTCCACCAGTTCTAATATTCAAGAAACCACTTCCACCACCAATTCCTAAAACTAATAAGCAGCCACCTCCCCCTCGCACTACCATATAACAAGCCCATCCAACACCACCTATTACTAAAAAGCCACCTTCTCCACTAGCCACCTGTTCTGTTTTTCAAGAAGCCACTGCTTCCACTTCCCCTGCCTGTTCCAGTGCATGAGAAGCCATTTCCCCGTGCAACTTGCCCATTCTCATTACCAGCAACATACATATCTTCTGCTCCACCACCATCAACAAACATATCCTCAGTACCATCTTCTCTTCCAGTTGCAAAGTCCATAACACTACTTCAAAAAACTTTTCCTCTGCTCCCCAACGCTCCTCCGATTTTGTAGAAAGACATATTTCCCCATTCCTAGAGCTCTTCTTATTCCTAAACCTCCTCTCATTCCCACCATTCCTCGCAACGAGTTTGGATTGTTATTATAACATGTTGCGTTTGTTGACTTGACCAACATAGCCTTTCAATGATATTGGAGTTTCTTTCCATCAGATCAAAATAGTAAACGGTGCCATGTAATGGTCGGGCAATGGGTCGGGTCTGCCAAATTTGACGCCCCATTCCATTGGGCTTGATTTAATGTGACTGTTTTCCATTTTGTACTTTTTGACATTTTTTTGCCTAGTTTTGACACTTTTTATTTTTCAAATTTTGTGGGACTAATGGGCCGAGCGGCGGACGTCTGCTGCAACCAACCTTTGTTGGCATTAATCGGCCCAGTCCATGGGACTCCGTGGTACGCGAGTCACCAACTCTTATGCTGCGTTTGATAAGAAAGATAAAAAATAAGAAGGATAAAAAATAGAAAGAATATATTTTTTATCTTTTAAGGATGAAAAATAGAAAAGATACATTTTCCTTCCTTTGTGTTTGGTTGGACGGATGGAAAATAAAAATGACCATTTTTTTTGCGCTGACTAAAATTAGGGGTGACAATCGAGTCGTGTCGCATCAGATTTGTGTTGAGTCATTACAGGTTTGTGTCGAATATTAGTCAAATATAAATTAACTTATTTAACTAATTGTGTCGTGTCAAGTTACAAGTTGACCTATTTATTTTCGTATCAATTTCGAGTTGTATCATCGTGTTGAGTCGAAAATTTTTACTCTTAATTAAGATGGAAAAAATATTTTTTTTTATTTTTAAAAATAATATATATATTTTACCATTGTATTTTTATATGAAATTAATATATACATAATATTTGTATATATAAAAAAATATATTTATATAATAAAGTAGTTTACAATTTAAATCTCAAAAGATAAACAAAATGACTTTTGCAATTCGCGGTTAAGATAGCTTTAAATATTATTTTAAAATTAATTTAACGGTTAATATTAATACCTTAAATTTAATAGGAAAAATAGGCTCTTAAGAGTGTATTTGAAGTGACTTTTTAAAAGTAATTTTAAGAAATTATTTTTCATAAACATTTTAAAAAAAATAGTGTTTGAAATCGCTCTACCACTACCTCTACCATCACCACCGCCACCACCACCATCATCGTCGATGTCGTCGCCGCCACCATCGCCGCCCTCGCCTCCAACACAGTTATTGCCACCTACTGTAACAATCACCGTTTACTACCGCCACAACTGTCGTTCGCCACCTCTCACCCCCCATTACAAACCAATGCTTAAATTTCTTTATCTCTTCTCTATGTTTGTGATGTGATTTTGAATATGAATACAAATATGTTTATTGTTTACTATTTTTTATTATTTTGTGTCTTCAGACACAAACAATAACTAGTAGACAAATAAGATACATCTCAACACAAACAATTAACTTTTCTTCTACTTTCCTTCCGATTTTGGAGGGATTGATTTTAGTTAGTTGGAAGAAAAGTTAATTCATATACTTTTTCATCCTTCCTATTTTCCTTCCTTACCAAATATGATATTTTATTTATCCCTTCAACTTTTTATCCTCACACTTTTTCATCGTACCAAACGGAGCTTTAGGGTCTATTTGTTTGTCAGGTTTGGGGTATAAGAAAAATAGTCTGATAGACCTCATAATTCTATGTTCGGTTAGTATTTTTAAATCTAGAATGTATATCCGGTCACTTACATACATGGGGTTGACCAAACAAGGGGGGTTTCATATATTCTAGCATAGGTTATTATGTCAAATGACTCTTCTCTCTTTAATAAAACATCTTATCTATCAAATCACATTCTAACCCCTACTCCCCCAAAGTGCTCATCTTTTTAATTAAACAAATATGAGTATAAATTGGATTGGCCAATGGGTAATATAGTCATTTACAAAAAAAATCTGTGTCGATAAAATTAATCAAATCCCAACCCCAAAATCATACAAACATGCCTTTAATGCGAAATGAATCATGGGCACCTTACAAATTAAATGTTTGATAAAAATAATACAAAACTTCAAACTAAAATAGGACCCCGTGAAGTTTGTACACGAGTAACACTTAAACTTATGTTGTAAATATATCCATCAATAAATTACATTCAAACTCCTTGAAGTTTGTAAACACATATTACTTAGATCCCTTAAATTTAAAATATTATATTTAAACCAAAAATACTTATATTTTTAAGAATACTAAATATTTTAACTTTTACAATTAAAATTCATATTCTATTGTATCATTTATTGAAATAAAATAAAATTTCAAAATTTTCTTAAAAAATCGTAATTAATATACAATTATATAGTCTATTGAAATTTAATTTGATTGTTTAAACGACCAAATTCAAATACCAAACTATCCCAATTGAAGTTAAAAGATATTGTGTTCATTACAATTTGATCTCTTGTTTAATTTTTTAGTTTTATTCTAATATATATTATAATTGTACACTAACTATGATTTTTTTTTAAAAAATTAAATTTTTAATTTTAATTTTATTTAAATAAATGACATAATAGAACATGAATTTTGATTGTAAAATTCATGTTCTATTAAGAATGACTTAGACCCCTTGTTTATTTTTTAGTTTTATTTCAATAGATAGTATAATTGTATATTAATTACAATTTTTTAAGAAAAAGTTGAATTTTTATTTTTGATTTTATTTCAATAAATGATACAATAGAACATGAATTTTGGTTGTAAAATTTAAAATATTTGATATTATATATTTGATTGGAGTATTTTTTATCTAAGTATAACTTTTTAAATTTAAGAAATATAAGTATTATATGCGTATAAACTTCAAGGGAGTCTAGGTGTAATTTATTAACGAATATATTTATAGCATGGGTCTAAGTGCTACGCGCGTACAAATTTTAGGGGGTCTATGTATAATTTTTTAAATATCAGAGAGTTTGGATGTAATTCTCCCTTCTTCTTTTTTGTTACAAGGTGTCTAGATTTGTGTCGATTACTATCTCGAGCACCGAGTCTGCCATCATAACTCGGGTTAGTTTAAGGACATGTTCCCTAAAGAACAAATATAACTGACCCTTAAGAGGTATAAAAAATATCGAATGTGAAACCTCTTACTTGCAAGAGAACATACCTGACTACTAATCACCCTAAAGTTTCACATGCTATCCAATGTGTGTGATGAGCTCACTATCCATCTATACTTACTAATGTTGAGGATATGTTATTTGCATCTGTTAGATTTATGTCAACTACCACCATACTTATTGTGCTCCTACTTCTCAGGCCAATTAAAACCGAGAAGAGTTGACTTTTGTGCTAGATTTCAACAGGTACATAAATGATATATATTATATATGTATAGGTTAACTGAGAGGCTGCAAAGTCCATAATCCTCTGGTTCCTCCTGTACTGAATGCATAAGAGCATAAATAGGAAGAGTAACTCATCAAATTAAGTTGTTTTCTAGCTAAGATATGGCTGCTAATGGTAGGCAGGTTGTGGAGGATGAAGAAAGCCTTTCTGTTGGAAGTAAAATCCAACCTTTCTCCTCTACACCCATGCAAGTTTCTGACTTTCTCATACTTTCTTACCCACTTCTCCTTCTCTCTTTGGTGTGAAATTTTCATTACTTTAGAGTAACACTATTGAACTTATCGAAAATAATCAGTTTAGTATACGAGACTACGGTCATTACAAGGTGGTTACTGTCCAACTTAATGTTTTTTCTCTTCTCATGTTTTGCAGGTCAGAACAGAAGCAAACTTCCCCTACATTAGCTGAGATACTGGGCTTTGATGAGATATTTTCCTTAAATGTTGGTACAATTATTTTACATGCAATTTAGCTTCATGCCATGCATGTTACGATACAATTGATGTTTCACTTGTTAAAGATATGCAAATATGCCGTGATTGACTGGACAAAATCACTTGAAATATAAAACATGATGTGTCGAAATTTATCATCACTAGCAATACTTTTTGTACAAAAAATTAATTGATTTCAGCTTTCATGATCAGGTTTGGCGAGCATCTGTAGGGGAGCTTCTTGGCTCAGCTGTTCTCGTCTTCGCTCTCGACACCATAGTTATCTCAACCTATGAGACTCAAACCAAAATGCCAAACCTGATATTGTCAATCCTCATTGCTCTCACAATCACAATCTTACTTCTTGCCGTCTTTCCTATCTCCGGTGGTCACATCAACCCCGTCATCTCCTTCTCCGCCGCGCTTGTTGGCCTCATTTCCATTTCACGCGCCACCATCTACATTCTGGCACAATGTGCTGGTGCTGTGCTAGGGGCATTAGCACTCAAAGCTGTGGTGAGTAGCACAATTGAACAATCCTTCTCTCTTGGAGGGTGCACCCTCACAATCATCACTCCAGGTCCAAAAGGGCCCATCACCATAGGCCTCGAGGCGGGCCAGGCCCTTTGGCTCGAAATAATATGTACCTTTGTGTTCCTTTTTGCCTCGATTTGGATGGCATATGACCATCGCCAAGCAAAGGCCTTAGGTCTCGTTAAGGTCTTCATGATCATCGGAGGTGTCCTTGGTCTCCTAGTGTTTATCTCAACGACGGTCACGGCTAAAAAGGGCTATGCTGGTGCTGGAATGAACCCGGCAAGGTGTTTGGGCCCGGCACTTGTTAGGGGTGGCCACCTCTGGAATGGGCATTGGGTCTTTTGGGCCGGCCCGATAATTGCTTGCGTGGCGTTCTATTTGTACACGAAGATCATTCCCCGTCGGCACTTCCAAGCAAAAGGGTACAAACATGATTTCTTGAATATTTTGAAGGCTTTGTTTGGATCAAATGGTGGGCAGAATTAGAAACTAGAAGCTGTGGCTTTGTTTGTGTGCTATCTTGTTCATTTTATTAGCTAGATGTCTACTTATTATGACATATCTCAAGCATTTTAAGAATGTTTAATGTGTCTAATGAAAAAATCTCCTACTGCTAACCTTTGACAATGAGCCGGTGATCAGTTATATCCTCTATCTTTCCTTCAACACCGTTAGCGTTTGAATAATGCTGTGGACACCACCTTTGTGTATCACATTTCTTACACCATCTAATGTGGCACAATCAAAGTTATTGAATAGTTGATAAACTTTGTGGGACCTACTGATCTAAGAGTCTATGTTGAGGTGGTGCACAAATGTGGTGTGTGTTTAGCATTGTTGTTAGCCTTTTGGTGATGAAGTGGCTGACATAATTTTTGGGTGATGAAATGGAAATTAGGAAAGAGAGAGAACGGGGGGGGGGGGGGGGAGAGTGACCTTGGTGAGGGCTCACTCTCACCCAAATATAATTGTAGGTTTCAACCTCATCCCTTTTATCCCCTTCTCCAAAAAGATTGAAGAGAGAGAAAGAGAGAGCACATGCAATAACATATATTTCAAGAATGATTTTTGATATTATAGCAACATTCGTGATTCTATTCAATTACACGAGGCAATCATTCTATATAAATAATATTAAAGATTAGGTTTGTATTCAATTCATTGACCACAACAGCTCCAATCTTTCTTTCTTTTTGGGTAAGTGAACATGGCCCAAGAGAAAAAATCCCAAGAGAGATATGTGTCTTCCAAGTACTAATTACATGTTTCAATGGAGCATAGCCTGAACTGACAATAGCAAAATGACAAGGATTAGTTGATTGATTGTGGAAAAACCCACAGCTTCTTATTGGATAAACCGCAATAATTAATGTATATAGTCTAAATTAAGATCATTGCTAGCACAATTTTAGTGGCACCAGATTATGTGTAGAGAGTTCTCAAGTTGGGAATTATCTTTCAAGATTAAGACTTATGAATTATCTTCTACATGGTGATTTTGATGTGCAACTTTTGGAGGTCGAAATGATGAATTAAAAGATAATATGCTTTTAGTCTTCTAAATGATGGTTTGACTAAGAGCATATTTTGTTTAATTTAGAGCATTTTCTACGGTGAAGGAAAAAACGTAATGGATGATGGGATTCGAATCATACCATATGAGCAGTAAATTATAGTACGTAGTGTGAAAGGATTGGGATCATAGAGTATGCACTAATTTAAGAAGATAATAGCTGACAAAAATCCGAAATTAAAAGGAAAAAAAACAACAACTATAAAGAAAAAAAAAATAAGAAAACGGATTTAGTAGCCAAGAGATTTCATATGTCTGACCTTTCCAAGATTCCATAATAGTTGGAGTCTTGAGAATCGGGAATTATCTAAAGTTTACTGATGCTTTTTTTAATTTGCCATCTATTTATCTAATCCATCTAGATCTATTATTTATTTATTTTCAATATGAATTTACTCATTTTCTTTAATTGTACATTATTCAATTTAAGCTACAATTGTATTAAATCTTATCTTAAATACATAAAATCACCCACAATCAGTATGACCGACGAACTACCCAAATTCTCATATATAGGAGAGTTGACATGAAATATTCTCATAGGATTACTCGATCTTTTAAAGTTCTTCGGTCCAAACTATCCATGCCTATTTTTTATTTTTTTTGCTAGATAAGAGGGTGGTAGGGGCAATTAGGCATAACAACTTCCCCAATGATGTTATCTTGAGATTTTCACCTGCTATAAAATGTTCAATTTATGTCATAATTATTGACTTGAGATAATCGAATCCGTCATTATAGCACCACTGAGGAAAATATGGAAATTCAGTCCCTCCAACAATATCTAATTCACATAAACTACTACCATAAGCGAGTTTAAATCCTTTACTACTAAAAAAAGACAAAAATTTCATCCTCTATCGAGACCAACTAGGCTACCACCTTGGTGTTCACATGCCTTTGATTTGGTAGCTGGCATTATTGTCACGATGACAACAAAAGGAGGGTGGGAATATTTCTTGAGTATGTGTTTATCGGCATAGGTGACAAACCTTGTTCATGTATATATATATATATATATACACTGGATATTCCTTAATTTCTCAGCGTAAAAAAAACACCTTAATTTTCGGTTCCACCTCCACGGAGGAGTTTGTCGGATGACATTGTAATTTTCAAAGAATAAAACAAAACATTGGATAACTTGATAGGTCTAGCAATAGGTCATGTTTTTTCTAAGTAGTATCAAACATTTAAAAGTATTAAATCTATACCCGTCTCATTTACAATTGTTTTTAGCTCACTTTTTTGTCATATTGAGCTCGTGTCTTGTTCAAACTCCTGCGTATAATTAGTTGGGTTCGTGTTAAATCATTAATTTGATTACTTTAATGGATTTATTCATTTATCACATAAAACTATGACCAAATACAAATATTTTATAATTATGTGTCGATTTCATGTTGGATTTACAATTTACAAGTCGTTAATGTGATTGTATAAAAAATGTTGTCCCTGTTAGTTACATGGGAGATTCGTTCCAATTACCCTATATATTGAAGAGGTACATATTATTTATAAATGAGTCTTATACTTTTATTAGTTTATATAATGGATAACCTGCCACCCATTGCTACTAATTCCCTCTCTAGGGAGAAGCCAGCCAAGTAAATGGAAGTATATTACACAAAATATGCCCCCCCCCCCCCCCCCTTTCTCTCTCTCTATGTGTGTCTATGTGTCAAGGAGAATTTGCGAAGTTTCATATAGCAACTAGGGATATTGTCAAAGGTGTTTTGGCTCTTTATATCAATGGACCTCATTTGCTCAACTATATATATATTTTGTTGAAAGATTGTATTGTGACGAATACATCATTCGGAAAAGTCTCTCGAATTTGAAAGAAGTAAATGGATTCCGTTGGATCACTTGAACTCGGTCCAGAGTCCACAAATACTACTGACAAAGCATGCGAAACGGTCACTGCAACAAGAAATAAGAGTAACTTGAAGAAAACTTTTTTGGCTTGCATTGGCTGCCATGAATATTTCTCTCTAGAGGTAAGAGAAATTCATCAATTCTTTCTTTTTTTTTTTGCTAAATAATAAGGAGGTGAGGGGACTAGTCTCGACGTTACCATGAGAATTTTTCATTGTAAAATGCCGATTTGAGTCGTACTTACTAACCCAAAAGAACAATTTGTCACCACAATACTACTAAAGTCAAATAACAAACCGTATTACTCTTGTAAATTGAATCTTACTTAATAATCACATGAAAGTCAAAGAAGATTATAATTGGGTACGATTTACCAATAGACCACTGGCTCATAGAAAATCATCGTGTTTGTAATTATCATAATTCCACCCGCATAGCGTTTAATCCTTTGATTTTACATAGACAAAATGTTACACATTCACCTCCTTTTAGAAATTTCGTATTCAAAATTTTCGCCACCTAGTGAGCCAAATGCTTCCGTTGTGCATTCCATATAGAAATACTAGAGCACTAATACGGTTTGAATTTCCTATACCAATAGGGTATGCTTTCAATTCACGTGCTTTGCTTCCTATACCAATAGGGTATGCTTTCAATTCACGTGCTTTTGCACGTCTTTTAGGGCACTAATAGATATGAATTTCCTGCTTTGCCCTTCAGTATTTTGCCACGTGATGGACACGTGCTAGTGTTTCTGTTAAATGTCTGATGACAATTATCAATTGGGGCAATGTGAAACAGCAATATTAGCTTGGGGTGCAATATGAGAAAACTGGTAGCTTAGGGTGAAAATGAAAAACGGGTGATAGTTCAGGTGGTGTAAATGTAATTTATCTTTTTTATAATTATCATTAGAAATTGCTTCTTCAGATGTGGAGAGCAGCACTCACGGAGTTGGTGGCAACCGCGACCCTTATGTTCACTCTCACTGCCTCCATCATCGCATGCTTAGATTCCCATGAGCTCGACCCAAAGCTTGTCGTTCCATTCATTGTCTTCATCATCGCCTTCTTCTTGCTCATGGTCACCGTACCTCTATCTGGAGGCCACATGAATCCGACCATATCTTTCATCGCCGCCCTAAAAGGTGTCATAACTTTTGCTCGTGCTTCGATCTACATTTTGGCACAATGCATCGGATCAATCATAGGCTTTCTTATAATCAAGACTGTAATGAGCCATCAAATAGCTACAAGGTACGTTTTAGGCGGTTGTGCCATCGATAGTAATGGACGATCATCGGGACTAAGCCCGGGCATTGCATTGGTACTAGAGTTTTCGTGCACGTTTCTACTACTCTTGATCGGCATAACACCGGCATTTGACAAGAGAAGTTTCAAGGAATTAGGGTTAGCCATGGTTTGTGCATTGATAGCGGGGGCTCTTGCACTGGCTGTGTTTGTGTCCATAACAATAACTGGGCGGGCTGGCTATGCGGGCGTGGGCCTGAACCCAGCAAGGTGCTTAGGCTCAGCTTTGTTGCAAGGTGGGCCGCTGTGGGATGGACATTGGATATTCTGGGTTGGGCCCTTTCTTGCTTGCATTGTTTATTATGGTGTCCCTATGAACTTACCAAGGGAAGTTCTAGTGGGTTGAGGAACAGATTGACTTTCTGAGCTTGGCTGGGGCTTGTTTGGGAGATGACACCCCAATTTCCATTCGACTGAAGAATAATGCAATTGACTGAAGTGTAAAATAAGGATCCTCTTTAAAGGACTAATTGAAGTGTGAAATAAGGATCCTATCTAAACTTGTCCTTTAACTTGGGAGAAAGTCAAACTCTCGGAATAATAAATCAATCATAAAAAGAAATTAAAAAAAATGTATCGGCGAAGATATGAATCCAATAATAGTTCTCAATAAAATTCTTTTTTTTCTTTTCTATCGGGTAACAACTAGTATTCAAGATGCTATGCTCGGTTAAACTTTATTCATCGAAGTAACTGAGTTTCTAAATTGTATACTGGACGTGCTTCCCGGCTATATTGTACAAATGCAGAGGAAAAAATATCAAGGCTAAAGAACATAACCACCTTGAAGTTGCAGCCAAGTAATTAGCAAAAGCTTCTAGCACACAGAGGTTACAAGAACTAGACAGTGCATTACTTTAACACTAGTAACTTCATTGATCAAACACTTAATATGCCTTGTTATTAATGGTTTCTCTTCATATGCAACACTTTACAATTTACGCAACGTTATCAGAAGATGGCTGCAACAGTGTGGAAGAAGTGGCAAGCGGCTCATGTACCACTGAATTTGTAGAAACTGAAATAGGATTGTCCTCCAATTCCAGCATGATGCTCCACAGTATTTCGGTCAATATCTTCTTGAACTCATCTTCTTTAACCAACTTCCCATCATCAGCGTCGAACACTTTGAAGACTTCAGTAACTACCCTGTCCACCTGTAGTGAATTTGGAATTGAACATCAGCAACAAGAGACTAGGAGTCTAGGACTGGCACAAGTAATGTCTTCATAAACGAAAACTAATCCAGCTAGCAGTCAGTTAGACCTTTGGTTGCAACACCAAGAAACTCACTGGTTTGACTCTTCTCTAATCTAAGATGAATGAACAGCCTAAACCAGTGCACTTCCCATATCCATTTCCATTGTCTACTCTGAATTCCTCATTCTCTTTCCTAGCAGCATTACACATCAATATTACTAATTCTGTACAGAAAAATGACGATAAGTGGGTTTTCCATTACATGACAATTGACCCTACACCTTTTTCGAAAATTCGTCTGAATAATCATAGGGGAACTTCTTGCTGGCTTTTAACAAATGAAAGGCAAAGATCAGATGCTAATGAGACTTGAGTGTAAGGAATTACTTCAATTATTAAATAACATATACCAGATAAACTGCACCTAATGGAGGTAAGCCAGCTGATGGGGCCACTACATCAAGCGCCACTCGCAGATATTCCTTCGACATTTTCCCAGTGTGATCTTTAGGCGCATCTTTTAAAGCAGCATCCAGTGTCTGAATTGGCAGATAGAGGCAATGATAGTTCCAATGAGTAACCAAGAATCATGAAGAACAGACTGGCTTGTAGTTTTAGCAAAAAATGAATACATGACCACGAAAATGAGAGAGAAAAAAGTAGGTGCTAAGAAAGTAAATTACACAGCCATACAAACAAGAGTAGTTTGCAGCATTCAGGACATGGGTATATACTGATTTTTCTATCAGTCATTTAAAAAAAGAAACCGATAAATAGGCCACATTCCTAACCTTGTCTAATTCGAAATTGTTAGATAGCAGTCTCTTAATGCCACTTCCATCAAAGTTGTTCTCACTGTGAGCAACAATTACAGGCTGCTCTTTAAGATGTTGAGCCACACTCTCCGCTACTTTCTTAAACTCAACCAAAAATTCCTCTTGAGCAATGGGTGGCTCATGAACACCACCAAAGGATTGTAATGCCGGTTCCACAATGTTGCTTCTAACCTACACAATGAAAGAGCCCCATAAAGTGAAGAGATGTGAAAATGTCGAAATTACCTGGGGTGACCCACAGGTATGGCAGAGTCATCAACCCGCATTCAACAAAAAATCCATCATTTATAATTATAAAGACAGATTTCCTGTTTGATGAAAAACCATTACCTTCTAATAAGCAGCATAAATGTCTTTTGTTCTCTGTTTGTCACATAAAATAACGTCTAATAGCAATAGGAGGGGGACTCATGTTCAAATTAAAAATAGAGCCCCTAATTGGTGTACTTCCCACACCCAACCATGAATTGACAACAACTGAAATACAACCCTACTGAAAGAATTACCCAAGTATCTGCAATAGGAGGCATCCCCTGGTCGACAGTGAGCTTCTCAAAAGCCTTGACAAAGTAATCTTGAAGGGATCCATCAGGCAGCTCAATCTCTAAGAATATGGAAACCATCTCTGGCTCAAAAATTGGGCACTTAATAAACTCGAGAAGGTCTTCCCCATCAATGCGGAGAATCACAACAGGATCTCGCTTCAAACCAGCAGCCATGCCTAGTAGAATATCCGAAAGAACGCCTTTAAACTCAGTCTTGCTTACTTTTTCTTGTTTTCCATGAGTGAATTCATTAAGAACCTATAACATGTCACAATAAGTACATTTCTGATAAAACTAATGAAAAGAAAAAGCAATTAGGTGAAAATTTGTTTGCCCAAGGCTATGCTAAAAAATATGGTACATTTACCTGCCGGGAACGTAAGAAAACATCAACTTCTTCGGATTTTTACCAGCTGATTGAGTTTTAACATCATACATCAAACACTAAAAAGTCACTGATTTCTTGGACAGGCTAAAGCCCAGCGGTATAAGCTTACTGACAAAAAGGATATAACATGGCAAAAAAAGGGGAATTATAACCAAAAAAACATTAAGCACCATCATTTTGTGAACAAATCTTATTTTCCAACCCCATCCTTGATTTTTTTTTTTTACATTCTAATATCTCAATCTCGTCCTAGATGAATGTTTATTAATCACTCTATTATCTTTAACTGATGGATTTTGTCAGCCATAAATTTGCTTTCAGGGTTTCAACCACCAATTGAAATTTGGTAGGCCCAAGAATACCACTATGGTCTTGAATCCACCTAACTGTTAGGCATTAAAGGAATGCTTTCTTTGTTTGTGAGGTGCCTAATTAAAAACTAGGTCGGTATTTTTTGTTGCATCTACTGTAAAATTATTTATTTCTTTTCTTCAAAAGGAAGTACATGAACACGAGAGATCATAAGTAAACAAAATGACACAACCTTATAGATACCCTTGTGCACAACTGCGTTGTGCTGTTGTAAAAAGATGCTCTGTCCCCACTCCAATTATATATGCCCTGGCAATAGAGGCTCCACTAAGCACATTTTTTCTAGGCAACTTCTGAAATAATGAGGCTGCCAACTTTGATCCACATTTTCATAAATCATTCATGCAAAGAAAATGGTTGAAATCATATAGCTTCTTGTTTCAAGAAGATAAGAGACAGCAACACAAAAGAGAGAGAAAAAAAAGTGAAAGCAGAGGCAAGCTAAGGCCCACAAGACCGACTTGGTTAGATAATTGGTGTTGGTTGTTTCTCGAGCTAGGTAGATACAAAAGCAGACGCATCTACATCCTTAAGTTTGAAGTCAGAACAATGAAGTCACATAGGAAAAAGGATAAAAAAACTAAAAGCTAGGAGCAATAAAAAAATGAAATAACTTATTGTGAAGTGCACTCAGTTCTAGATCTTGAAACTTCTACCACAAACCTAATTAATATTGCTAGATACTTCTAGGATAGCAAATACAAACATATCTATATATCTTGAAACTTGAAAAGTCAAACAAAACATCTCATATAGACAAATAGTAACCTACACCTCGAAATGCTTATTTTTGTGGCTGTAATTGCACTTCATAAAATTATCTTCTACTAGATACCCACAACTATCAGAAAGCTACACAGAACCATTAATATCTAACAATTCATGTATTACAAATCAACCACCAGGGTATGGCCAGTGACACCATCTCTAAGCTCAGCAAAAATGAAAAACCAAATATAAAGCATGATGACACCACCATTATAATTTAGTACCCATTTACTTGATAATATTGCAGGCTTGCAGCAATAATAAACACTTATCTTATCGAAAAACTACTCGAAAAAGAATTAGCAAGGAGTATGGTTCTTTTTGGTTTGTCATTACATTATCCATACCAAAGTCTGTATAGCATTTTTCTTGGTGTTAAACATCTTGAAGGGCATAACTACACATCGCTAACAAACAAGGAAAAAACAAAACTAAATTAAACGAGAACACTCGCACTAATTCATTACATTATACGACTTATGATGATGCCACCATCTTCCTAATTTATTGGCAATGTTCTAGCTTGTACCCATTGATCTATAAGATGTGAGGGCTTTCTGGATCATGCACACTCCACCTTCCTAATCCATTACTGGACATTTAATTCCAAAAAAAAAAACAAATTGGAATTAAAAAGAAAAACAGGGTAAATTAGCTTGTATATTTACACACTAATATTTCAGCAATAACAATAAATTTTCTTATCAAAAAACAATTTGAGAAAATATTTGGTAGGGAGAACACCCACATAAGTCCATTATACTATCCTCAGTACTACAACAAACACCCCTAGTCCGCCTATCTTGAACGTGCATACAAGAATGTAAATGTATCAATATTTGTGTAACTGTGGTCGTCTATGTGTTTCTATTGAGTCGCCAATACACAACTGTATGGATAGAAATCGCTACGGGATTTCAACCCTCCGATCGAAGGATTCTGACTGACCTGCGGCACCGAGTCCCAGTAACCTTTACCTCTCTTCGACCAACAGACTTTTTAGCTAAGGTAATTTCACATCAAAAGAGAATCGTCTTTTCTCCTCGCATATAAGTTCTTGCACTCAAAGGAGGGGTAAAATGCTAGTGGGTAGCTCCTCGTTTGAGTGCAAGGGATTATATGCGAGGGAAAGACTCTGTTCCCACGTGAAATTATCTTAACTAAAGGGTCATGTTGGCCGAACAGATATAAAGGCTACTGGGCTCGGTGAATCGGAATCCTTTGAGAGGAGGACTAAAATTCGTAGCGATTTCTACCTTTACAACAATATTATGTTCATACACACAAACACAAACAGTTTACATGCATACAACAATACAAAACAAATACGTATAAAGGGAAAGATTACGAACTTCGGAATAGATATGATCAGAATCGGGAGAAGAGCCGCGAGCAGGCAAACCCAGAGCAGCACCAATATCAGCCACAGCAGGCTGTAACTCGCTCACCGAAAGCTTACCGTCACAGTCTGTGTCCAGTTCTTGGAACTTATGATCCACAAAGTTACTAAAAACTTGCTCATTCCCAACCAACTCCATTATATCTGAACCGTCCATCACCTGACCCCCTCCACTTTTCGTCGTCCCAATGCCCTTCCCCTCCATTCACACCACCTTTTCCTTTATCGCGAAACCTCTCTTCTTGGCATGAGTCTCGTGAATTAGAGTACCTTTTGGCTTAAACGAACACAGATAGAGAGAGAGACGAATGCCGTTTTGGCTCGTGCTGAGAAAATATTCAGTGTAACCGACTTCGTGATTATGTTATGGAATATACTATTTATAAAGAAAAACGTTACTTTCACAAAAAATATTGATATATTTTTGTTAATTTTTTTTATTATAATCATTCAATAAATATTAAAACTCAGAGTTAAATTAATAATAATAATAATTTTAAGAGTTAATAAATATTATTAATATTTTTATGCTCATTTATAAGTATTTTATTGATCTAGTGGACCCTAATTAATACAGGAATTTATTATTAATATAATAATAAAATTAATACATTAAGTCTAAATAATATTGTTCATATATAAAAATGATGTTATTAAATTATGTAGGGACCCACTAATTAATTTATTATTTTTTTATTAAATGATGATACTATAACATAGTATTACCGTTATATTGAATATTTACTCCTAATTGAGTACATATTATAACCAACCAATAACATAAAAGGAAAATAAGTGAATTAATTTTATATATTAGGTATTGAATGTAAAATTTATTAGTGACTATAAAATTTAATGGGATCTATTAATCATACATATTTATACATAAATAATTGATGACATTATATGATATTAATAACGTCATATCATATTTAATATAATAAAATTAAACTAAGATAGTATTATAATATATATATACTAGTCATAACCCGCGTTTGAAAACACAAAAAAATATAAAATTCGAACGTTTAAAAAATTGATTTCATTATATTAATTTTTTAAAAAAATATTAACTATAAATTAATCAAATATTAAATAATTAAATATATGATAGAAATAAGTGATGTGATATTTTTAGGAAAGAAATATATAAATGATTAAACATATGACAGAAATAAGTGATGTGATATGACGTTTGAGTCTGACAAAGGGATAATGGATGAAGTAAGTGATTGATGATAGTTTTAAGGAAAAAAATATGATTAAAATAAAATTTAACCACACTATTATTTTATTATATAAATATATATATATATATATATATATTTTTCCTTGTGGTGGGGAAAGATAAAGTTTTGGCCACGAAGGGATGTGTGGTTAGGACACGTGGGGCGGTTCGGGGAGAAAAGTAAAAGAGATTTGACGTTCCTTTTTGGAACTTCTACTTAGGTTGGGCTCGTGAGGAAGTGACGCGTGGCCTTTTGGGCTAATCTGTACTTCGGAGTGCGTATAGCGCACGTAATTTGGTTCCGTGGCGGTTGGCTAAGGGAAAAGGGGGCAATGTCATTCGACAGATGCAAAGGGCTTTTAGGCTTGAGAGATAAAAGAAAAAGTGGGCTGTCAATTTATGCTGGGTCGACTGTGATTGTAATGGACTATCTGTTGGAAATTTATTAGTTTTCAGTGGTCGGTCCAATTTAAAAAAAAAAATGTCCAAAAGTCTAACAGATATTTTTTTTTAGATATTAAAGGATGATTAAAGACATAAAAATTAATTTATTTTTAATAACATGATTAGCGAGATTGCAAAATGGACAGTGACATAGTACACTTGCGGTGCAATAGGACAATGACAATGAAATTTTACTGTCTAATTTTAATTTGAAGACGTAGAAACGGATCATTATGATATTGCACAATTACATCAGATAGTGACATAACATATTTGTGGTTTGCGAATAATTGATTTGTTGATTTTTTCCTATAGGGAAGAATTGTGCATCTTTCCATTCTCTCTCTTTCTATGATTTTGTTCATCTAAGTTTTGAATGTTTTACAGCAAATTTAACAGATGAAAAAAGTGATATATTCTTAGAATTAACAAAGAGCCATTGCGATTTTTAAAGACACTGTGACGTTTGAGTTTCATACAATCCAGTTAATGAGGTGCATGCAGATTCAACTCTAACCTATGCAATAAAAAGTTGATTGGGGCATAATCAAAACCAACGGAAAAAAAAAACTACAGCGGAATTCTTGAACAAATGTGTAAACGAATACTATTCTTGAACACCAATAAATTCTTTGTGGCCGCTGCATTCTTCAATATAGAAGACTATATATGTTACCAGCACTTCACTTTCCGAAGTTCAAATCGACGCCATTTGTGAATGGTACTGCTAGAGGCATGGTGACAAAGTCTAGATTTGTCATGTATAAGGTTTGCTTCCTGGACCGCACTGTCGAAGATACAACTGAGACCAATACTATTTTTAAAGGTCTTGTTAATTTGAACAATGTTGTTGTTTGTCTTAACTGAACCATTATTAGTCACAAATCACCTTCCTTGATTCTTTATATATGGGACTATACTTTAGTCATATGATGTTACATGTATATAGAGAAAGCCAGCTTAATTTCACTATACATCAATAACCTTCAAAAAGACAAACCACGAGACACAAGTATGATTTTTCCTTCAAAAAATGTAGACAATCGCGTAATAAAGTTGTCATGTTTGGGAGGAGAGTTCCTTATCATGAAATAAGAGCATCACCTATTATTTCGTATGTTATAAGGAATGCAGCTAAAGTAGTACAAAATTATTTATACTACTTTAAGATACCAGCATACATGAAAAATATTTTTTTTCACTTTTGCCCTCTAAAACTACAACTATATCATCCCTATCCTTCAAAATTAATGTCACACTAATTTTATCTTTCTCTTCTATCTTCAAACAATTATATAAAGACAATTATATCATATTTTTTAATTTAACTCTTAAACCATTCCTATTCTAGGAATAAATAAATATATATATTGAATTCTAAATATCAATTATCCTTCAAAATTTTGATTTTCTTTTTTATCCTTAAATAATATAATTAGGTCATTTTTATCCATATTTTATATTCATTGAATATCATAGTCTTTGTGTCTTCCCTCTGTTACAAAGCATGAAAAGAAAAACTCTTAATTCTAGCCATAAATTATCACTTCTTCCGTATTCTCTTTCCTTCCACTAGTTTTTAATTATTCCTATAATGGCTATCATATCATTTGTGCCTTTTAATATTCTTTTGTGATAAAACTATTGCTCTAAACTTAATTATGTGAATGAATAGATGATTAACACTAATACTAAGACAGATCATTTTCGCTCCCATCCCAAGCCCCTCGTCTACCATTATTTTCTTTGGTTCTCATTGCCGGAATTTTACGTTTGTCTTTCTAAATAGCCAAATCTTTATCGAAAATGAACAAGACAATCTTTCTATCATCCTCAATAATTATGGTCTAACCCATTAATCAACATCATTCCTATGCAAGATAGTTTTTGAGATCTTCAAAAGAAAGCAGCAGAGAGAGTCCAAATTGGTATGTACTTTGCAACATTGTGGGGATTTGATGCAATCTTGAATATATGCATAACAAAAATGTTAGGAATTCTTTTCCCATGTTCCATGATTAACATTAACTCTTTTTCTAACATTGGTTCTCTCATCATACTCATTTCATGGGCTGCAAGGATCGTAGAAGCACCAAATTAAGACTAATATTAAGTTATAAAACACCTTTTTCCCTGTAAAAATGTTGGGTTTAATATTTTTAGCATTTTTACTTCTAGATTTGTTTTATGTTGATATTTTTTATGATTTTGGTTTGATCTATTAAGAATTTCTATGATCTTGACCTATTTTATTTTTAAGCTGAATTTGGTGTGTTATATTGATGTTTTTGTCTTTTTCTAAGTTTGGCATATACGATTAGGCATTTAGCAGCGATGGTGAGTATGCTTCCGGTGTACTGGTTTCAATGTTCCTCTATGGACAGTTTCATATAAAAAAATCCATAGATCATAAAAATTTTTAAAAAGTCATTTTCGGCCTTTAATTGCATAATTTATTTTGCAAATTTTTAGAATACAATTTGTGTCAACCCTATTCAATTACTTAAGTTAATGGTTTTTACATTGTTTGAAATTTCTTACAAAATGGTTGTGCTGGATTTTGGATTGTGAAGCTAAAATTATGTTATTGTCATAATTTGTATTGACAAGTTTCTTAACTTCTTATGAGTTTCTATACCAAATATACAAGTTTCTTAACTTTTGATGAATTTCTGCATTAAATACCTACGAGCAAAAATCTCCATAATCAATTATTTTAAATTAAAGTTTTATTAGTTTCTCACCTAAAAAACCATTACATTATATATATCTAGTGAATAAAAACTCTATACCATAACCTCTAGTGAATACTTTTTATGTAAGTCATTAAATCATGATTTAACGATCACCACTCAATGAAGTCTAAAATTAAATGTTAAAACCTATCAAATATGCCTATTGACTAAATTGGAAATATAATAACATATTAATTGTAATTCTTCACCTATTAGGAAAGTATATTTCAATTGAAATTAAATCTATAGAAAATATATTTTTAGTCGTATAAAATCTGATTAGATGGGTCAGCCCTAAATTTCGAACTGATTATTATTGATTTTTATGACCCATATGATTTATTATATGCTTTTAGATTATGGATCTAATCTGAACATACTTGTAAATGTGTTGCTTCAGATTCTCTCCACTCTGAGTTTTTAATCGTTTTCTATTTTATTAATAGTACCAAAATTCATACCCAGTTTTCATGCACAAAAGACACGTCCCACACATATGTGAATGAAATAAACTCAAGCTACCACCACCTAAAGTCATTGAATAGTTTTATTGATCAATGGATTGTTTAGTTGGTTAAATATGTTAGAAAACTCCAATTAAACGATGTATTAGTTAATGTAAGTTAACAATTGATTATTAAAATTTGACGAGTCCAAATCTAATAAGGCAAGGCCCAATAAATCTAGTAAGTCCAAGTCAACTAAAAGACATGTCAAGTCCAGTTCATGAATCCAACCTAGCCCAAGTTCTAAGGAGTCTAAGAAGAATTAAAGCACACAGGGAGCAATTATTGGGATACTCACCCTCAAATATCAAGACAACCTTTTATGGCACTTATCTCTTGTAACGACCTGGAGAATTAGTACTTTTGCTCTCACATCACCGTCTTAACCAAGACTCTATGCTTATAAATTGTAAACTCTCTCTACATGAGATGCGACAATTTTATACCTTTGGAGACACTTCTGAATACCTATTAAAATCTCTCTACACCTCTCTATACATACATAGTTTTCTCTTTCCTATCTATTGTATCCCTCCTGGAGTTAACCATTGCTCTCTCTCGTTTACCTTATTACTTCATCAGTAAAGATCCCCTCGCCACCATTGCCATTTTCTGGAGTGGAGTAGGTTACCCGAATTGAACTACTATGTATCTGTGTTGACCCGATACTTATACTATTGTCATTGATTGCTCTATTAATTGTCCATTAATTACACCTTATCATACGCTCGACTATTGATCTAACACGAGACTATTTTGTGCAACATCAAAATTTGTGGTGGTGTGGCACTTTTGATCTGTATGTTAAGCACATTAATTATTTCAACTTGATTATATGATTATTTTGAGTTTTAGGCATTGGATTTGTGATAATTTATTTACTAGTAGCTAATCTATTCATGCTTTTGGCTAATTGCATTTCAAAAGGTTTAATATATCTTCCTAATAATAGGAGTAAAAATTACCAATAATATGCCATTGAAATTTCCAATTTAGTTGATAGACATATTTGGTAGGTTTTTGTTGGGATTTCTCACGATTTGAATCCACTAACAAACACACACAATCGAAGAACAAATCAAGAATATAAAGCAATAAGAAACAAGAAAGAACAAGACACAGATTTTACGTGGTTCGGCAATTTGCCTACGTCCACGAAGCTGCAGGGATTTCACTATTGAGAGAGTTGAATACAGAGAGCGGTTGTACCATACACGATTGACCCTAATCACCAAAACAACAGGGTTTATATGTCCTACGCACTGGGCTGTATAACGGGCCCAAAAAAATTTTCCTCGGGGGCGTTGCCCCCGAACCCCCACGAGGCTTGTCCATGAGCGCTACGGCTTGGGCCTATCGGCCCAAGCCTTCGCTCCATGGACTAAGCCTCAGAAAATTTCCCATTAAAAACCACACAACATTATTTCGGGTCGGGTCATCATCCGGATCACATATACAAACTAGACTCCATAAAAAATAAACCAACAGTTTTAGCTTTTAATCTTAGGCTTCATTGGGTGGTGACCGTTAGATCATGATCTAACGGCTCACATAAAAAGTATCCATTAGAAGTTATGGTATAGAATTTTCATGATCGCGCTACTCTGTGTGTGTGTATATATATATATATATATATATATATATTTATTTATTTATATGTGTGTGTGTGTACAACACTGCTAAAACAAATTAACAAAATAATTATGTTGCTTATAGTGTTTGAAAAGTGAGAATTGACTAATTCTTCAATTAACTAAAAGTAATTATGAGTTCAAACATCTCTTAAGATTACAAGTTTGAGGTAGAGTGCCTCTATTAATTCCTTTGTATTAAAATAATATATGTGTACCAATAAATGCTCATTGCCTCTCTTATTTCAATTATACGAAAAAAATAATGAATAGTTAAAATACACGTGTTTTAAGTGTAAAAAGACTGACAAGAGTTGGTTTCCTACTGATATGAAATGTAAAGTTGATTAGTTGTTTTTGAAAGTATTTCACAATTTTAATACATAAAATTTTATAAATAAAATAGTTCATATATAACAGATGTGTGCACCCACTAATAAAAGAAAAAAAAATACTTCAACACTTAAGCTATTCTTTTTCCAAAGAAGGGTTACCACATACACAAGAACTCTTGAAAGAAAAGGCCCCATTATTTTGATTCCAATTAAGGTTCTTCAAGATTACAACTCAAATAAAATAAATCTAAGTAAAGTGAAACAAACAACACCACTACCCAATGCAATGCATCGTATGCGGAAAGAATCTAATTTATATCAAAAATTATGTAATATTCTATAAAAATACATGACACTTGATACTTTTTTTGTGATGACAAATCCCTCTTTGCATCTTCATTTTAAGGAAAGGAAAGAATTGAGTTGGAACTACATCAAAAGTATGCGTGCAGGAGCTTGCACAATATACACACAAAAACAGATCTCTCCCGTGGTGAACACGAGTCAGTCAATCGAACAGTCAGCCTTGTTGTTTGGAACAGTGTGAGATCCGGTGGTAGCTCTGGAACGGTAATGAGTGACTTTTGTGGGTCATCGGAGCGGTCCAGTAAGGCTGAGGGAGGTTCCTGAAACCGAGAAAAACGAGTTAGGAGGGCGCCAGAGTGTTTTTCGACGTATCCCCTCCGACGATTAAGTTAGTTATTTGAGAGAGGGGAAGAAGAAAACACTGTGTATAAGTTTGAGAAAAGATTTTTTGCGTACCGTCTTATCTTTTGTGAGTAGTATTTATACCTTCAAAACTCATGATTGTTGTCAGTGTGGTCAGTAGGTGATCATTAGAGATGGGTAACGTGCATACTGGTCTTCAAGAGAAAATGACCTCTTTCTTAACTGCTCTGGATCCCGAGCAATCAATGCATCACCCTCGGTCTATCGAATGTTTAATGACCCTCACTCGACAGGGATGTATTAAATGCTTAGTTACAGGAGCATTTATTACCTTTCACTTCCTCGTCATTACACATTAAATGTTGTCTCATCAAAGAAAAAGTGCATTAAATACTTGCTTTCCCAAGTCGTGTGTCAGCAAGGGCGTTCTGATCTTTTTGTCCCTGAACTGACACAGTATGCCACGCGCCGGCTCCCCTTTGGTTGAGTCCTCTGCTTTCCTGTGCGTTCTGACACCATCCAGGTAGGATCAGGTCATGATGTCTAATCTAGACTAACCCAGGCTGATGTCCTGTCTATCAACAACCTTGCAGGAACAGAACGCCAATGTAGTGGATACACCTCGGTGCCGAGGGGCTAGTACGGTTAGGGGCTAACGTACCCCCTATTCGACCGAGAAACACGTGTTGAACCCCCCGTGCATACCGGTGTCGTAGGTCTTTATGCCTAGTACCCTCCTCGGGGAAAGGGGGATCATGGCCTGACGAGCACGTGTCGTGACCACAGCAGAGAGTATTTTTCTTGACGCCGAATACACGTGTTGCTTATCTTGGAGTGTCTGAAAATGTCCCATCAAAAAGAAAATTGTAACACAAAAAAATTAAAAAAAATAATTTTGCTAAAAACTTACATTGATAATTAGATATTCAATTTAGCCCTCTCTTTATTAGTTTTTTTTTTTAATTTTCATCTTTTTTATTTATAATTATTATTTAACCACTTAATTATGAGTTTTGGGTGTTCTCGTTGGAACACAAAGGCATATTCGTTGCTTTTGGATACATTGACCCGAAAATTCAGTACGGTTCTTGCACAGTTTTTCTTTTTTACCATTACAAATCAATTGTTTTAATGTAGGTATCACTCTTTCATTTGTCTCAGCACAACTAGGAGTGTCAAACATGTTGGCTTAAACGATTGCGTGTCGGTTTAAACGAGTGACGAATGAAAAATATGTAAACTCGTACACGACACGTTTAATAAACAAGTAAAAAATCTAAACACAAACACACAAATCGTTAAATAAACGGGTAACACGACATGACTCGTTTAACCCGTTTAATTTTATTAAAATTTTAATCCGCAACAAAAAAACAATCCTATTAAAATTTTAAACTCCATTAATTATACATACCAATTGTACTCTCTTAATCAAAAAAATTTCAGCTGGCTGCCACTTGCAAAAACAAATGAAAAAGTTTAATAACTAAAGAAAGAGGTTGTATCATTTTATAAACATAAGAGGTCTTCTTCATTTGAATTTATCGACGTAGGATTCAAGCCAAAAACTTTCATCGTAAGTTCAGTGTCTAAAAACCCACAAACTGGCTGTAAACCCACCCCAGGGCTTCGTGGCTGCCAAGGATCCTTCATTGTCTCCTTCATTTCTCTTTCATTGTCTATAAACCCACCCAAAGCTTCGTGTGTTCAGTGTCTCCTTCATTTCTCCACACAGACATCCAACACAGGGTTAAAATCAAAGACTCAATTCTATCCACTGTGCACAACAACACACACGGATAGCAATTCCATTGATCAGCACCATCTTCTTCTGTATGTGCTTTAATGGATTCTTCTGATGTGCAATCATCATCCTCGAAAGAATCACCGATATGTGAAAAAAGGAGGGGATAAGTGAGTAAAGGAGGGGGAAGAATCGAGAATCATCAATTATCTTATGATGTGCGGTCTATAGTGATAAAAAATTTATTCCCACATCGAGTAGTGCAAAGGGGGGTAAATGAGTAATCTGTATTTAAATTTTTTGAAGATTTGTTTTACTCATTTACCATATATATTTATATATAATATTTTAATTTTGACTAATTTTTTAAAAATAATTATTATATAATTTTTTTAAATGAGTAGACGGATTGATAAGTCTCACTTGAACACGACCCGTTTATTAAACATACCTGACGGGTTAACCCGTTTATTACTCAAATCCGTTAAAATCTTACTTAAATCCGTTTAATCCGCGTCGATTAATCGTGTCGTGTCGTATTTTGAGATGCCCAATGACAACAATCAAATTAATAATAGTAGTCAAAACAAATGAAAAATAAATAGAGTCAAAAAAACATGGAAAATAAATAATAATACTATTAAAAATTAATTTAGTAATTTAATTAGAACTCGTTTGATAACGTTTACGATTTTTTATTTTTTAAAAAATGAAAAACATAATCAAAAAACAAAAAACATATTTTTCCCGTTTTTAAAAATCACCTTTCGTTTACAAAATGATGACTGAAAAAAAAATGATCATCAAACAAATTTTTTTTTCTTGTTTTCTCTAAACATTAAAATAAAAATAAAAAATGAAAAACATAAATATTAACGAACGAGACGAAAGTTAATGAATTTCAATGGTAGAATTGACAATACAACCAATTTAATATTGACACTCATTATTAAAGTAACCACAGTTCAAATTAAATCCACATAACGGTACTCAAAATAAATTATAAAGCCACGTCATCAACTCATCGAATAAATAACGCCAGTGTTGTTCCTTCCGTCACTTCATAACCGCCTCTTCTTCATCCTCTAATCCTCAGAGCACACTCTCACTCTCTCCTCTCTCCTAATCTTTCATGGACGTGAGCTTCTCTGCGAAGTGTCAAGCTCTGTCTTTAATATCTTGCGCTCCTCTCCATTCATTCCTCTCTCCTCGTGGTGTTCGATCCCTCCGTAGAGAGTTTCTTGGGTGCGGACACAGTTTGAGGCCTCCGGGTCTTCGCTCCCCAAGAAAATGCAAGAAACTAGGGTTTCACATTCATTCGCCAAGATTTTTCTTCAGAGCCTCTTTGGATTCGCAATCCGTTCTCGTCGTTGTCACTGTGGTCATGGTTTCGGCTCTTACTGTTGTCTATCTGAGTCACTCAAAAAGACACAACATAACAGAGGTAACTGATTGTTGGACTCTCTCTCTCTCTCTCTCTCAGTCTCTCTTTATACACACACACACACATTGGAATTGAGATATCTATTTACTTATGCATGATTTGATGTATGTAAGACAGAGATTGTTGTATTCCTTTGCGGATTCGTAAGTATACATATATACACACACACATTGGAAATTGAGATATCTTTTTACTTATGCATGATATGATGTAAGTTAGACAGAGATAGCTAATTTGTATTCCTTTGCGGATTCATATTTTACAAGTCACGAACAGAGAATAGACAAAGATGGATCTTGTTGTTTTTCTAATCCGTCAGATGTCTCTTTGTTAAGTGTGGGTGTTTTTGTGGAATAAAGAGTTGAGATTCACTAAACTAGGTGGAATGTTGGAATTAAATTGAATTTTGCCAATTTCGGAAGAAAAAAGATTTGAAAGTTGCTATACTTATTCCTGAATATTTTGTAATAAAAAAATTCTGAGTTTAGAATATTATTGAGGCTAATAAAAAGATTGCAATCTTGCCAAGGTCACCTTGACTCAACTAAGTACAACATTGACCTTAGTGTTTGTATTTCTTTAACTCTGAGATACCGAATAGCACGACTAGATTTGTTAGGGAGGGTTCTAGTCCCAAAATACAAGTAGAGGGGGTCTAATCAGTTTGAGTCTTTTTTGTCCTCGAACCAGCTTCCCAATGCTTATTCAATATTACAGGTATCAGATCAGCTGATGCGTGCATTATCCCATCGGATCAGATGTTTGATGAACTGGGCCAGTGAGGATCGGAGCTTGGGCCCTTTAGATCTTTGGGGAGAGAAATTTGCAAATAACCATAAAGATTTGATGAAGGAAACGAAAGAAAGCAGTCGTGATTTTGAGGATAATGTGGCCCAACTTCAATCCATGAACAATGGTTTGCTGAATGAGGAAACTCTCATCACCACCACACTAGACTCTCCTGATTCAGGTGCAGGTGCAGTACCATTGACTTTTACCACAGAAATGTGTGAAAGAGTGGAAACTGAGATCAGCTCCGAGTTGCCTACAGTAATGGTTAAAACTGGGTTGATTGCCTCTTCTAGTCCTGTGAATAGTGTATTGTCTGAACTTAATGAACTTGAAAAGCCAAACCATGAGCTTGTTGAAGATAGTCAAAGTAGTAGCTATATTGGCATTTCTAGGGCTTCTGTCCGTAAAGAGCTCTACACATTTTATGAGACAGATCAGCATCAGCCTCTAAGGAATTCTGTGGTAAACTTAAATGGCATGCAGACATTGTGTTCTCCTGGTTCCCTTCGAGATAATGACTGTTTTCCTTCATTGATGATAAGTTCCTCAACTGAAGGAGCAAAAGTTTCTGGGAAGGACATTCTCCATACTGCAGGTTGTATACTGGAAATTCTCTTAGAGTGTGATCTCCACTTACTGGTTTGATATAAATAATATGTTTTTTCCTCCAGAGAGCTTTGAAGGGAAAACACCACTTGGATGTTATAAAGAAGGTTCTTTCTGTAAAAGAAAAGACTTGGGAAAAGGACGAGAGTTTTACATTGATAAGGATAAAAGCATTCTGCATCAGAATGGCGACATGAATTTGTTCCCATCCGCTCATCCAAAGGCGAAACAAATCAATAACAGACATTTTTCACAGAAATCCAATGCTTTCAATCATTTTCTAAGGCAAGGGAGGTAATTTTCTTCATTCACACTATGCTTATGCAAATGTTGTGCTTGCCACCTTGATTAGAAGTCCCATGAAAGAGTTACAATTCTATCTTATCATAAGTTTGATCTGACATGAATGAAAACCAGAACTTTCTTGCTTTTGATGAGATTTAATGAACTCTTGTGAACTTACTGTTTACTTTTGTTTCCATGCTAGTATTGTTTGGGCTTATTCTAAAATTTATCTTTGGTTCTAGGTTAACTGACTGCTTAGAATTGCTTGAAGACAGGGAAAGAAAAGGCTTGTTGGACATGGATAATGTAAGGCTATCACCTTTCACTTAGTATTCTGTAATGAATTGCTGTACTTTGTCATTGTTGGTTGTATGTGGAATACTATGGTCGCAGGTTTATCATGCTGGTTTTTTCCGTGCTTGTAAAAGTCAAAAGGCTGTTAAGGAAGCTTTTTGTTTCACCCAGCTTATTCCCAATCCAACTCTAAGCACATTCAACCTGCTTATGTCTGTTTGTGCATGCTCTCAAGATTCAGAGGGTAAATTCTTATTGTCTGGCTGTTGTTCATGGATAGTTGTTGGAATATGCCATCATTACCAATTGAAATACTTTGGAAATCTAATCTATCTGTGTGTATTTAGGAGCTTTCCAAGTTATGCAACTTGTACAGGAGGCTGGACTGAAAGCTGACTGCAAACTTTACACTACTCTTATATCAACTTGCGCTAAAAGTGGAAAAGTAGATACAATGTTTAAGGTATTTTAACTAACATTTAGTTTCTCATTGATGGTTGTCATTAATACGTAGGATTAATGACTCAGACTTCCTTGCTAGTTTTTGTGCATTTGTTCTTGTCAAATAATCCTGCTATTGTTCTATGGCACATCGACACTAGACAGTGCCTCACAATGTAATAAATTAATTAATTATTGGCCATTAGACATAAGTCTATTGCTAAACGTTGGCAAGCGTAATGTAATTAGTTTTTGAATAGAAATTTGGATTGTGATCTATAACTCGGCCCACGTTTTTCCTTTTTTACCCTTGTCCATAGTGGCATGGAACATTAACTTGGGATGGAAATTGTATTGTCCAAACTTTACTAGCAGTGGAAATGATGAGACAAAGCATGTGGAAGTGGTCCTTCTGAAGGCATTTGGTCATCCTAAGAAGACTAAATGTGAATTGTGAAACCACTGTAGTTGAGTCTGCTCATAAGTCAACTTAGTGTTATTTAAAGTAAAAAGCACACCAAGGCGTCAAGGTCTTCTGGTGCCTAAGCGTGAGGTGTGAGGCAAAGTGAGGTACAAGTTGTAGATAATATGTATTATATAATACGTCAAATATAACTTAATGCGAGAAATTTTAGGAACTTTCACCTAATACAACATATACAACTCATCTTTTTTCGATAAGTAACATATACAACTCATCTCACTAGTAGATGTCAATAATATGCTGCAAAGAAAGTTAATTCCAGCCAATTACAATACATACAACTCATTTTAGCTAATTCCGGCAAAACAGAACAAATTACACCAAGATTACTAGCAAAATTATTCAACCATCAACATCATATAAGCAAATTACTACATATCAACAATATTTTATAAAAGGATAACTAATTTAAGAATTACTAACATCTGTGACCAATTTCAATTTCATATTCATTAAAAAGCTATAAAAAGATTCATGAGTAAATTCAGATGGCAGAAGAGTTGGAGAGAGAGGGATATTAGAGCAAAGATAGAGAGGTGTATATCCTAGATACAAAAGGTCGATTTAACAATGTTAGCGGTTAATTGAACCAAAAGAAAAGAAGCTTAATTTATGAAAAAAGAGGTCAATTTCAGTAAATAAAAGACTAATTTCAAAAAAATATGAATACAAATGGGATAGAGAAAAATAGATGTGAAGAGAGGGACGTAGAAAGAGAGAGGATGATGTAGATGAAAAAGAAAAAGACAAAGATTGACTCTACAAAGTAGATATTTAAACTTCAAGTTAGATTGGAACGGGAATATCGGGATTATAGAAACCCATGCATCCATCGATCCAGTGTTGCATGGTCCAAAATGAGGTGGATTTGCGACCTAGTTTGCCCAAATTAACCCTATCTCTAAATCGACCCATGATCGTGGTAATCCCAAAATTAACCTTAACTACTGTATTTTTTTTCTTGGTTTTTAAGGTTACATTTAATTTTTTTGTGATCTTTTTTTTTCCATGACAGAGACGTGTATTCATTAACTTTTATAATCGACAAGAATTAGGCAGTACCGTATGACAAATACAAAATAAATACTAATTGACCATAAGTGCACTGTTGTGTTATGTAATTCATATAATAGTAAAAGCGATCGGGATAAGAGTTCCAAAGAGAACTAAGATCCCCCATCACAGTGCACATCGGAAAAAGGATCCTATAGGACACCCGTATCATGTGCCAAATGACCCACGATTCAGTACAAGTGATTTGAATGGATCTGCGAAGTACACATCTAGAGTTTAGTGTTTGAATTCGTTATATATAAGTGGAAATGTAATCCAGTGTTATGCATTTTAAAGTCTTCAAACCAAAGTCGATATATCAATTGTTCAAAAAATAGCAATAAAAGGGAAAAACGTTCACGCCCATGTGCCTTGGGCATAAGCCCAACACAAGCATCTTGTTCGCCCAATAAAGTAGTCTCGTCTCAGGCTAAGGCACTTTTGGTGTGTCTCGATTCACCTCATGCCTAGACAACGGTCTAGACACACTTTTCACAACACTGAGACAACTTAAACTTTTTACTATGTTTGCCCTTTTTTTTTTGTTCAAAAACAAATGAGATTCTTAATTTCTGATTTGAAACAGTTTATGTGTCATCAAAGTCCTAGGCAGGATTCTTTTAAATATTATGTTACCACTCCAGAGTGGATTGGTAGCTTGAGTTTTTTTGGTTCTTTTTCTGGAGGATATACAGTACACCTTTTTTTTTTGGGCCAAAAATTTAGATGGCATATGTGATGTATGGGCTTCCCAAACTTTTATGCTGAATACATGTTGACATTATGATGATTTTCATTTTTCATATATTCCCCACACACTACATCAGTTTTCCCTTTTGTTTCATGCATGCTCTCATACACTTTCCATTCTAACAAGTTGAGGAAATCTCTCCATAAAGTTACCTCATTGCTAGGATTCCATATGTAGTTTCTTTTGCAAAGGAGATTATTGAATACATTTGTAAGTTATGTGCTGCATTTGCATACTATGATGGTTATGTCGTCATCCTTTTCTATTTGAATGAAGTGTCCTTTTACATGTCTTCGAATGAGTATCATATTTCATTGAAGCTTTATTAAGTTGTAGGTTTTTCATGAAATGGTCAATGCTAAAGTGGAACCGAATGTTCACACATATGGTGCACTCATCGACGGATGTGCTAAAGCAGGGCAAGTTGCTAAGGCGTTTGGTGCTTATGGCATAATGAGATCAAAGGTAGTTGTTGAAGTATAAAAATTTAAATTATACCCTCTCTAATAGCTTAAGCTTTTAGAGTAGATGATTGTTCTCATGGTATCAGAGCAAGAGGTCATGTGTTCTAATATTTCCGCCACCCTAATTATTGGAGTAGACGAGTGTTTGTCAGTTTGATTGCACTTTGCAGTTTCTTTTGCTCTCTTTGAATTCAGCTTGCACTTGTTGTACGGCACGTGAGCTCCAAACATGGTTCTTGGCTTGTATTTTAGTTCTACTGGAGTTTTTTTTCCGAAGTCTTCTTACTGATCACATGTTGCATGCAGTAGAATGTGAAGCCTGACCGAGTTGTATTCAATGCACTTATAACCGCATGTGGTCAATCAGGAGCCGTGGATAGGGCATTTGATGTGTTATCAGAAATGATGTCTGAGACACAACCCATAGAGCCCGATCATGTCACTGTTGGTGCTTTGATGAAAGCATGTGCAAATGCTGGCCAGGTGAGGTTTGTCCAGTTTAAACTTCAAAATCATTATCCACATTTCAAGTGCTATGTAGTTGCTTTCAGGTCCCCCATCTTCTTGAAGTTCTCATGGATTAACGAACAACACTGTATCACTTTAGGTTGACCGGGCACGAGAGGTATACAATATGATTCACCAATATAATATTAAGGGCACTCCAGAGGTATACACTATCGCTGTTAATAGTTGCAGTCAGACTGGTGATTGGGAGTTTGCATGTGGTGTGTACAATGATATGAGAAGAAACGGTGTCCTCCCTGATGAGGTATTCTTTCTAGAGCAATGCTATTGGGACTTAATTTGATGACTTAATTCACTATAACCTTTGGATTGACTCTAGGTCCTATCAAATATTAGAACTTGGTGTTGATCTAATAATTCCAATGAAGCCACATTATTAGGTTGGCGAATTAGGTCCAAATAGCTTTACTCTTCTTTTTAATATAAGATCGTGACATTGCTTTTGATGCTGGTCTTTTATGTTTAAAATTCATACCAACCAATTGTAATTTTATTAGCTTTTACCCTTTGAGAGTTATTGTGGTCACAGTGGTTAGATAATTTAATGTTTAGAAATTGAGGTATATGGTTCTCCCTGTTGACAGCTGTTTCCTGATTATTTGATTAGCATGAGAAAAGGTGATTATGTGTTTGATCGTTGCCCAGCAAATGGCCAGTTGAACAAGTTGATTGAGTGGCAGATCGGAGGATCAGCCATTGCTCTCAGACGTCTGTATGTCTATGCTAATAGGCATCTCAGAAACATATCATGGTTCAATGGAAAACTATCAGTTTGCCTTATATATGACCAAATTGAAAGTATCAATAAATAACCCCCAAATGGTGAACAAATGACCGGTAAAATAATATTATGACAAATAATAAAAATGGATTATTAAATGCCTCCTGGGAATGGGATGGCACAATCTTATAATTTTCACCGTCATGTTCCTTTTAGGGTTTAGATACCTTCACCATATTTATAGAAAAAAAGTTTACAATTCTTTTTGCACCATATTATGTAACCAAGCTACACCCAGCTGCTGTTATTCTAAAGTTTCGTCCCCAAATTATGGATATATTGAATTCTTCCTTACCAGGAAAATATGTTGTGAGATGATATTGAATATTTTTTGAAACTTAGGAAATAAAGTGCTTGTACAATGGAACTTTTGTTTCCTATCAAAAAAATGTATGTTTGTACAACCAATATCAGTAGTTAGTCACAATTATAGCAAAGAGTCCTCATTTCTGTGTTTTTTAGGAGTTCATATGTTTGCTGTCTAGAATTGATCAGAATGCCTAATATGCCTGTCCAAATATTAAGATGTAACCACTACTTTTTACATGTAGGCCTTCTGTTGGAAGGCAGAAGGCCTACACATTAAAAATTTGTGAATTGTCAAAGGCAGTCTAATACTAATGATCATATGGACTTTGTTAGTAGTCTTGGCATCATGACATAATTCTTAAACCAAATTTGCTTTTGTGACATGATTGCTTGCTTAAGCTTCTTTTATTTCATGCAGATGTTTATCAGTGCATTGATAGACGTTGCAGGGCATGCTGAAAAGCTCGATATTGCCTTTCAAATCCTACAAGAAGGGTGGACTGAAGGAATGCATGTTGGAATCATAGCGTATAGCTCATTGATGGGGGCCTGTTGCAATGTATGGACCCATCTACCTGATCTGATAATTATCTACCATTGTTTAGCTATTTCTAAGTGTAGGACTTTGGCTAGCCTTGCATAATCTTTGGACCGGGGCTAGCCTTTTGATTTCTGCAGTTGTCTTGTTTATGCCAAATTTCTGTTGGCATCAAGTTTCAGAGAATCAGAAGCTTTTTTTTGCTAAAACATCTAAGTTGAAACAAATTGGCGGCAATGAGTGGATGGGGCTCATATCCTTGTTTAGAGGTTTTATTTTGTGGATGTGGGACAAGCTCTATAAATCCCCACACGCGCCCCTACCAGCTTGTGGAGAGGTATACCGAATGTTAGAAAGACAAGATTAGAATGTAAAAAGTGCACTTATTGGTGGTAGTAATTGGTTTTCTTTTTTTCATGCTTACCATCAAAATTCCTGCTTGCAATTGCTAAGAACAATTAGAAGTAATGGAAAAAGAGTTTGAAGACAGCTTTACCTAAACCTACTATACTAAACTGTCTGGGCCCAGAATTATTTTGATCTCGTTGTATTGACCTTGTCATTTTGCCACTTGAAAAAAAATAGCCTTTTCATTTACCCAGCTGATATACCAGTTATCTGTGAAAAAATTGTCTTGCTTGCAACTTGTGCATCTGGTTTTTTATGTTGCACATCTTGATGTGACAATGATGTAATTTTCTATTTCCTTTTCAGGCAAAAAATTGGCAGAAGGCAATGGAGCTGTATGAGGATGTTAAAACTATGAACTTGAAACCAACAGTTTCAATGATGAATGCCCTAATAACTGCATTGTGTAAGATTCAGTTACTCATATTTTGCAACATAGTCTAATCCATTATGAATGGTATCCCATTTTGCTTCTAAAACTTTTTGGCATTTTACACTTTTTGATGGATAGTTTAGAGGATTGTCTGAGTTTAGTGGTGAACGTGATAACTAGGTTCAACCGTTGAGCTTGAATATCCTAGAATGCAGCTTCAAGTTCCTATTGACATGGGAGCTCCAAAACCTCTTCAAACATGATCCTATAACTCACAGGTTACTTGGAGTAGCATATGGACTTGTAGACTTGCGGAGTGTGTGGTCCCATGTTGCACTTACAAGGGTTTTGTGATTTCGTCAGGAAGGGATAAATATAGACTGAGGCTACTAAATTCTCAAGCTGGAGTGTCGTTTAAATTTGTCCTTTGAGCCTTCGGGTGTGCTTATTAAATGTTCCAGGGACTTTTTGGACAATCTTGAGTTTCCCTCATTCTTGCTGGGGTTCACCCTGGTCCCTGCTGGCCTTGGGGCAAAAAATGGGAAGAAGACCGCCAGAAGGGTGTTTCGTGCAAAACCAGGATTGATGAGTCATGTGTTTTGGTGGTTATGTGTTCAGACTTCAGAACTAAACCAAAGCACAGTAATTACATGTCTAGAGGAACCTGATGGTTGGCAGGGTAAGTCAAAAATGGCCTGTGGACAAAATGAGGTCTGTGCAGGTAATTTGGGAAATTTATTTCACCGTTTAACTAGAAGGTCGAAGTTATCTAACAAAGCTGGGACAGTGTAACAAGCCGTATTATCTATAGTTAGAGTTACATGAAATTTTTTGATCTCTTGAAGCTTCACTATTTTCTATTTTCTTTTTATCCAAATGGCATTGCATAAGAGAAAATTAGGATGACAAATTACTTGCACAAATTTTGCTACAGGTGATGCAGATGAACTGCAGAAAGCTATGGAAGTTATGACTGAAATGAAGAGGCTAGGATTGTGCCCAAACACCATCACGTATTCCATTTTATTAGTGGCAAGTGAAAAGTAATTGCTCATCTTCAATATTTTCTTAGAAGAATTGATAATATTTATGTCTTTCTCATGAATTTATGACTCTCAATCTTATTTATTGAGTAATCTAATTGCAGAAAGGATGATGTAGAAGTTGGCCTCATGCTCCTTTCTCAAGCGAAAAAGGATGGTGTTGCCCCTAACCTTGTTATGTGCAGGTGTCTAATTGGTATGATCAATGGGTTTGTTGCTGGATTTTTTCTATTTGATTGTTATTTTACGTAAGGTGTTAGTGTATTTTGAGAAAATGAATACTGGATTGGGTATTGCTTTTCAAATGGGCGCATGTATTTTCATTGTATGCTAGTTGATTTTTTTCTTTATTTTTTAACCATTGGTGGTAGCAATAGGTTTTCAATCCTTGTATCTGCTCTGTAGTATCACCAAGATATCTTTTGTATAATGTATAGGAACTATAATTTCAAGTAGTAACATCATATTCTTTCATTCAGATACATGATGCGGAAAAGACTTTATTTATGAATCCAGTTATTTTTGGAAACAATGTTCAGTCTTGATGCGCTATGAAAAACCTAATATAACATATAGTGGGATGTCCAATCACTTATTCGATTTTTGAAAACATCTGTTAAGTTTGAGGTTGGGCAAAGTTCAAGGTAGAAGGTTGAATGCAGTTTTTTAATGTGTCCTGTTGAGATTTAACTCGATTTAAATCCACTAACAAACACACACAATCGAAAACAAATCAAGAGTATAAAGCAATAAGAAACAAGAAAGAACAAGACACAGATTTTACGTGGTTCGGCAATTTGCTTACGTCCACGAAGCTGCAGGGATTTTACTATTGAGAGAGTTGAATTACAGAGAGCGGCTGTACAATCCACAACAAACCCTAATCACCAAAACAACAAGGTTTATATGTCCTACGCACTAGGCTGTATATAACGGGCCCAAAAAATTTTCCTATCGGCCCAACCTTCGCTCCATGGACTAAGCCTCAGAAAATTTTCCATTAAAAACCACACAACATTACTTCGGGTCGGGTCATCATCCGGATCACATATACAAACTAGACTCCATAAAAAAAAACCAACATGTCCCTCTTTTCCAATTGTATATTTTTTTTCCAGCATCCAAGGGGAAAGATTTGTTTTTTTTTTGTGGGGGGAGGGGATGATTTGTTGAGTCTCTGCTTTTTGAGATATAATTTGCTAAACACCACCATTTAAATGCTATTTACCACTGGATGACATATATAAAATCCTTGAGCTTATTGGGCCCAAATCTGTATCTATCATGCCTCTGCGCTGTGAAAGAGAATTTTTAACTGATGATGAATGTGTAAAGGCATTCACTAGAATGTTTGCTTACCCTGCATATGTAGTACCATACTGGGGGAATGACCCTTTTTCCTGGTGTATATTGAACACTGTGAACCTGACAGTTCCTCTTTTTTTCTTTTCTTTTCTTTTTTAATAGGTGAGTGCACAATGATTTTTGTAATCATTGGTTTTTCTTGCATGAGTTGCACTATTTTATAATTGAAGTGCTGCTGCGTACAACTGACCACATCTCCTAAAAACATTATGAGAACCAGTGTTCATGATTCCAATGTGTTTTCTGCATTTTATATTGTTCCACATAATGTTTGATAGCTTTATTTCATGGTTTTGATCCTACTGCTTTATTCTTGAAGATTCCTGACAGGGACTTGCTATCTTGTGCCTTCCCAGCTACATTCATGATTTAGATCAAGTATTGTTGTTAATTATTCTATTTCATAGGCTAGTTTGTGTTCTTTATGAATTCTATTTTTGATTGCCCATTACTTATTTTCTGCTTGAAGCCATGTGCTTACGGAGATGCGTGAAGGCTTGCGCACTTGGCGAACCTGTATTAGCAGTCAACTCAGGACGACTACAGATAGACAGTAAATGGTATATATTTTGTCTATCAGCAGTAATTTTCTATCCGATAAGCTTGTTTAATTACTGAAATTAGAAAAATGAATTCATTACTGTGGAGATATATCAGTATGGAGTTTTAATTACACGACTTCTAAAAAATTTTGCCTTTCATCTGCAGTGTGCATGCAACAGTAATGTAAAAGGCTGTTAAGGATCTTGAGTTTGATGCATTTTAAATGTATTTGACATAATATCATGATTGTGTATGACACTGTATGTCATGGTTAAAGTGGATGAATAAACAGTTCTTTGAATTTACCTAAGTGGGGAGACTGCTACTATCAATTATTTGACAAAAAGTTTCTCTAAACAATATCAAAAGCTAGGGAGAGTTGACTAACTTGTCAGAATTAACTTGTCTTGCATTTTCTTATCATGTGTTTATGAATAAAATTCTTTTGAGTTGTTAATCTATCTTTGTATCATAATTTTTTTCTGAGCAGTTTCTTTATAAATACTAGAAATTTTGTTAGCTCACTTCAAGATTTTTTTTTATTTTTAGTGCCAGTCTTTTGTCCAGAATTTTGTGATGTTTCACAATTTACTTTCAATCCATCCTATGATTTGTGAAATTTTTTATAGTTTTATATCATAGGGTGCTAGAGATATTGAACAGACTGTATTTATAACTGAATCTATGACATGTATAAAGAACTTTGAAATTACAGTAATTGACAGAGAACTGAATTGTGCTGAAAAGAACTTTTTCGTAGGGGTGTGGGTGCTTGTGTGTATCTTAAGAGCTTTTCCAAGATGAAGTTCCGATTAAGGGTGGTTTCCAATTAAAAAACGAACATGATTAAAGGTGGAAATGGTTAAAATAATGGAAATGATTATAAGTGATACAATGTAATGTTTTGAATGGTGCCATTAAAATTACTTTGTTGTCACCCGGCTTTATTCCTTGTAAGACCTTGATTCTCTGCCTGTTATACTTGTTTGTTTATTACCTTATTTTCTGTGCTAAAACAATTTTCTTTACCTTCATTTTTCAGAGTTCAACAAAGTTTAGGATTTGAAAAAGTCAGTAATTCGGAAATTTGGAAGCAGGATTCTTGAAACCACAGAATTTTAGAGTGATGTTATTGATGCTTTTATACATCAGTTTTTTTATCATAAAATCATTTATTTTTAGTCCACTTAATGCATTACTATGTGTTCTATGACTAGTACTTGGTTATGGTGTTGACCAAGAAACAGCAAAAATAAGGGGCTGTTGGTGATGAGATCCCGAATTTGTCTGCAGGACATCACTGGCATTGATGGTCTATAGGGAAACCATTGTAGCTGGTGTAGCACCTACCATGGAAGAATTTTCACAGGTCTTGGGATGCCTGCAGCTCCCTCGTGATATATCCTTGAGAAATAGGCTCATCGAGAATCTTGGAGTCAGTACCAATAGGTCAAAAGGCTCAAACCTCTGCTCATTAGTGGATGGATTTGGGGAATATGATCCCCGTGCTTTTTCATTACTTGAGGTGGATGGACGACTTATATTTATTTTATTTGTTCTGTATCAGGTTTTACTGAAATTATTTGTAAGAGATCACCTAACTTTCTTTTACGTATTTCAGGAGGCTGCTTCACTTGGAATTATCCCTTGTGTTTCCTTTAAAGATAGCCCAATTAAAGTTGACGTGAGGGATTTGCAGATTTATACAGCTGAGGTGAGCTTGTTTTGCTTAATGTCATGGTCTTTCTTGTGCTGCTTCAATTAAGTTAGAAGTTACAAATGAGAAAATTATCTAATATAGTTCATTGCCTAGTGCAATGTTAAAATGCTTGGGCTAAAAAGTGCAAGGTTGTGTGTCTGAGTGTAACAGCAGCCACTTTGATGCCTTTGTATATGGTCCACCACTCCTAGTAAATGGCAAGTGCAAAAGATAGACTAAAGAATGAATATATTTGTGAAAAAGTAGAGGTATCACATATTAGAGATAAGTTAAGGAACTATCGACTTAGGTGATTTGGACATATTTATAGACGGCCTACTACGACACTGGTGAGAAGAAGTCATATGATAGCTATTGACCCTAAACGTAAGTGTAGAGCTTGACCAAAATTTTAACTGAAATATTAAAGAAAGATATGATAACTTATAGTTTAACTGAAAACATGCCTCTTAATAGAACTCAATAGTGAAACAGGATTCATATAGCCGACCCCAAAAAAAAGTTGGGACAAGGCTTTGTTGACTTGAGTTGATGGAACCTTTAATATTCATTGAGTAGTTTGGGTTGTTAAATACATGCATTTATGTGTATAAGTATATACCTCTGTATATAATGACTACTCTTGAGGTTTAGCAACTGAACTTGTGATAGGATATTTTCTTGTTTGTCATTCCTTTCCTTCGTCTTTTAGATATGTCCCCAGCAGCTCTCTCTTTCTTGCTATTGCATTTGATGATGTCATGTTGACTTGTTTTCTTCCAAAAATGCTCAGGTGTACCTCTTGACAGTCTTGAAGGGTCTTAAGCACCGCCTGGCAGCTGGTAACACTGTGTACATGCAAAATTTATTTTTCAGTTACATTTGATCTTAGGCTAATAATGCAAACACAATTCTTATGCACCATACTACGAATTGTTTCTCCTCCACCTTCCTCATTCTTTTATGCGTGGCTACCTCCCATGCCATGAGAATTGATATTTAATGTGGGTGCCAAATTAGTTGGCAGTTTTTGCCCTTTTTAAGGGGCAGGAATTTGAATGATGTGTGATATCTGCATTAATCTCCATGTTGAGGAAAAATGTTGTAAACCTTTTTGAAAGAATACAGTAGAATGGCACAAGACATACCCCCCCCCCCCCCAAAAAAAAAAAAAAAAAAAAAAAAAAAACAAAAACAAAAAATAAGTGTTTGAAGTTTGAACTATGCCAATCTGTAACTGTGGCAATTGACAAACAAGGCAGATTTTGAGGTTGAAAAATTCTGTGAAAGCCATGAACGAAATTATACAATATTTCTAAGAAATTTATTTATAAGTCTATCTTGTTTTTAGCCTCTTAAGGCACACCATATTTTGTTGCTATCCTATCTAAGCTTGCTCTTTTTTTTTTTTTCAAATGAAGACACGTAATAGTTTCTGCTATAATTTTTTGAGATGTAAAAGGAAAATTAAAATATGTATATGTGCTCTTGATGCTATAGTTAGGTAATTGCCA